GTCCTATCTGTTGTATTCTCGGACACGTTGATACCGGTAAAACGAAACTTTTGGATAAGGTCTGTTGTTTTACTTGCATGTCTTTATCTGTCATACTCATCCTTTCAGATCCGTCAAACAAATGTACAAGAAGGCGAAGCAGGCGGTATTACCCAGCAAATAGGTGCTACGTACTTCCCGTTAGATGCCATAAAGACAAAGACTGCAGTAATGAATAAGGCTGGTCACTTGAATGTTCTAACGATTCCTGTTTTCTGAACAATGATACCAGGACAACTCTCAAGAATACAAGATCCCTGGATTGTTGGTTATCGATACTCCTGGACACGAATCCTTCACCAACTTGCGTAGCCGCGGAAGTTCTCTGTGCAACATCGCGATTTTGGTGGTAGATATCATGGTGCGCTCTAATTTTCTGCTAAAGATCTTTCCTCATTCCCTATTCCAGCACGGCCTTGAGCCACAAACTCTGGAGTCTCTAAGGCTATTGAGAGACAAAAAAACACCGTTCATCGTGGCCCTTAACAAGGTGGATCTACTTAATATTCTCTGGTGTTTGGTTCCGATTTCGTTTCGCAGATTGACCGATTATACGGCTGGAAAGAAACACCCGACGGCGCCTTCCAAGAATCACTTGCAAAGCAAAAGCGATCGGTGCAACGAGAATTCGAAGATCGTGTACAAAAAACCATCCTCGCCTTTGCAGAACAGGGCTTAAACGCAGTCTTATACTACGAGAACAAGAGTTTTGCCCGCAATGTTTCTCTGGTACCTACCTCTGCTATCACCGGGGAAGGCGTTCCCGACATGATCATGCTATTGGTCAATCTTACCCAGCAGCGCATGAGTGATCGCTTGATGTACCTCTCGGAGCTGGAATGTACCGTCCTCGAAGTGAAGGTAGTAGAGGGCTTGGGCACGACAATTGACGTTGTCTTGTCCAACGGTATCCTACGTGAAGGTGACAAAATAATTGTATGTGGTCTTAATGGCCCGATTGTTACTCAGGTTCGTGCGTTGTTAACGCCTCAGCCGCTTCGCGAGCTACGAATCAAGGCAAGTATACAATTTGGTGTTTCCAGAGTGGAACTTATATTCTTCGTAGTCGGCATATGTCCATCACAAAGAAGTCAAGGCGGCACTGGGTGTCAAGCTTGTTGCTCCTGACCTTGATAAAGCTGTTGCAGGTTCACGGCTCCTTGTTGTTGGGCCAGACGATGATGAGGAGGATTTACTCGACGAGGTCATGTCAGACCTCACCACGCTTTTAAACTCTGTTGACAAGTCAGGTCGTGGAGTTTGCGTGCAAGCCAGTACGTTAGGATCTCTCGAAGCGTTGCTCGACTTCTTGAAAGTCAGCAAAATTCCTGTATCGGGGATTAATATCGGTCCCGTACACAAGAAAGATGTCATGCGCGCTGCCACGATGCTAGAAAAGGCCAAGGAGCTCGCAGTCATTCTTTGTTTCGACGTACCAGTGGACAAAGATACAGAAAAGCTCGCTGAGGAAATGGGCATCAAAGTGTTCAAAGGTTTTAATCTCCGTTGTTACTTCGGTGATTGTTCTGACTGGCCATACAGCCGACATCATCTATCATCTGTTTGACGCCTTTACTGCCTATAACAACGATATCATGGAGGCAAAGCGACGAGATGCGGCTCCGCAAGCGGTATGGCCTTGCAGATTGAAGATTATAGCTGCCTTCTGTAAACGGGATCCGATTATTTTGGGAGTTGACATCTTGGATGGGACTCTTCGAGTGGGCACTCCGCTTTGTGTTGTCACGGTCGATCCGACAACACAGAAGAAAGACATCATCGACCTTGGGAAGGTGTAAGTCCTTCATTTCAGACTTTCTAAGTACTACTGCTCATAATCCCGTGACAAGCACATCGTTAGAGATCAACCACAAATCATTTGATGTAAGTTTTTTGTCCTATCCTACGGTGACATCGTGTCATTGAACCTGGCCCCACAGATCGTCAAGAAATCTCAATCTGGTGGTGGCGTTGCTGTGAAGATCGAACACGCTGTGTATGAATCCGGAAAAATGTTCGGCCGACACTTCGATGAAAAGAATGAACTTTTCAGTCACATCACAAGACAGAGCATTGATGTTCTCAAGGTTTGGCTGCACATGCTGTTGTGGACTTCAAAGCTAACATTAGCAATGTCTAGACGTCCTTCAAGGCTGATGTTTCCACTGAAGAATGGCTCCTAATCAAAGCTCTCAAACCTGTAAGCCTGTCAAATCCCTTTACCTTTTCCAGATGTTCAATCATTGTACCTCAGCATCTCAATGTCCAATAAATATTCATGACAGTCGGTTTGCCGATGGTGGCGGATCGGCGGGCCGGCAGCTGTCCATAGATCACAACTGATGCTCCTTATCGAACTTTTTTGTGTGATTTTACTTCGGAGTTACAACTACAACCGAGTTATTCAAGTGTATTTATACCATCCTGCCAGGCCTTGAATCCCGCTCGTACTTTTATCCTCGTCGTCTTCCAGCTCGTTTGCCACGATGTCTAACCATTCCAGCACTGGAGAACAGAAGACAGATGATGTTGGTGGTGATAGTGAAAGTGGTTCTATCGCAGACACGGACGCCCTGCAGCTGGTAATTCACTCCTCAACGACAGAAGGGAATGACCTTGCAGGAAATGACGCGTTTGGCATCACTGAATCAATCGGTATGGTGATAAACTGGATGGCTGCGGGTATCCCTACTGTTGACCGACTCGGAATCGTTTTTGACCATCCCGGACGGACTCTGGGTTGTCACTGACGTCTGAGTTGCAGTAGGGGTTGAGATAATACCGCTCGAACCTGAACAGCGCTCATACCTGCGTAGGGAAGCCCCCAGTGTCACTTCGCTTTCCCACTCCTTACGAGGAGCAATGCATCTTGTGCTGATTCTATTTTTTCATGATTTCAGGCACAACTTGGCTATAAACAGGTGAGACCATATGTACCCTGGTTGCTATCCTATCTCACCTATTTTAGCAATTACATCGCAGCTGGCACCTGATTGAGAGCTTTGCGGCAAGTTTTGTTGCCCTGAACTTCATTGGAGGCGTCAGGTATGTGACTGCATTGAGCGCTTCTGCTATTACTAATATCACTTCGATAGATCTTTTCTCTTCCTCGGGCTTCTCGCGGGAGGGCCCGCCGCGATATGGTTTGTCCGTTGATTTATGTTTTACTCGCGCATGCTAACACTAACACAGGTCATCATATGTTGTTACAATGATCTTCATGTTCATAACTGCCGCTATTCTCGCCGAGATCTGCTCCGCGTTACCATTAAGCGGCTCTATCTACTTATGGGCTGCAGAAAGTGCTGGTCCAAAGCATGCCAGATTCTTCGGCTTCCTTGTTGCTTGGTGGGCATGTACCGCATGGATGACCTTTACCGCGAGCAACTGCCAAGTATGTCATTTAAGATGACGGTGGACTTAATTCTCAATTTTATAGACCACAGCCAATTACATCGTTTCTCAACTTGCTGTTTGGGAGGTCAACTTCCCTGGGGGTGTTGGAAATGACAATATCCAGTGGCGGGCCTTGATATGGGCCATATCCGAAGGAATGCTGTTGTTGTCAGTGGCTATCAACTACCTTCCGCCAAAATATTATTCTGGTGTCTTCAAATTTTCCATCGGCCTCATGATGCTTGACTTTTTCTTATGTCTCATCTGGTTGCCTATCGGTGTTTCGAAGACCTACGGTTTCCGGTCCGCCAGTGATGTCTTCACGATGACTTGTAAGATGTCCACTCTGCCAATGCCTTTAATCATGCTGATTTTACGGCAGATAACGGCACGGGAGCCCCACCTGCGTGGAACTGGCTCTTATCTTTGTATGTCAAATTGTAATTTCAGTAATCAGCCAATTATCTGACACAATTCTAGGTTATTCACAGCGGGGACCTTGACTGGCTTTGATGCCTCAGGACACATCGCCGAGGAGACCAAGAATGCTAGGTATGATTTTCGACAACATCGTAAGGGTGTCCCTGTTTGACTTCTCGCAGTGTGGTTGCAGCAAAAGGAATTTTATCGAGTGCAATTGCAACAGGTGTTTTGGGTTTCATCACGACTATCCTGTTTTTGTTCTGTACGCCAGACCTCGACACTGTGTTTGCCCTCGATGCGCCCCAGCCATTCGTGCAGATCTACGCGCTCGCTCTCGGGAAGAAAGCCAGCATATTTATGACTGTTATTGCGGTCGTTGGCCTGATCATGGTGCGTACTACCTCGCTGAAATTGCCCCGATTTTCATTAGTCGGCCTGCTAGAACACAACTGTTGCTATTGTCGCATCCTCGCGCCTTGTGTTCGCGGTCGCAAGAGATGGGGTTTTACCATTGTCCGGATGGATCGGCGCTGTCGACTCGAAAGGACAACCTCGCAATGCAGTTACCGTCATCTACGTCTTTGCAGCCGCTCTTCTCTGTACAATCATTCCCAGTCAGGTGGCATTCACGTCATTGGTCTCAGCTGGGGCCGCTCCGACCATTGCTGCATATGGCCTCATTGCTTTGTTACGCTTGACGATGACACCCAATTGTTTCCAGTCCTCTCATTTCAAGCTGGGAAAATACGCAAAGCCATTCTATGTTTGTGCTGTCTTATTCAATGCGCTGGTATTTGCGGTGCGTCACTTTCACTCCATGACACATAACTCGAACTCAGACCCGGTGTCAGGTCGACATATCACCATTTGAATTCCCTGTCACAGCTCAGACATTCAATTTTGTGAGTGTTACAGTTTGTCCCCATCAATTCGTGCAATGACTTTGCGGAAGGCCACCGTCATCTTTGGCGCAATTTCCATTTTTGCTTTCTTGAGCTGGTACTTCACTCCTGAAGAAAAGTGGCTCAGAAAGGACCAGATACTCAAGGCGTATGAGACAGTCGATCATCCTGAGGATGAGTGATGTTATCTTGGGGCACGTAGGTTGGGCGAGATCTAGATGTATATATGATTCTCCAGCCTCAAATTGGCTCCAGTCCTAGTAGTCCCTGACATGCACCCTCTACATCTGCAATCTAAACATGTGTGCGTATTTAGTTCATCCGGCGAGGAGAAGAGATCAGGACGAACCTCCTTTGGTGCACTAACACTGAGAACCACGGAGTGTTTCTCGCCAACAAGGACTTCGTCCTGTAAGTTATATCAGTGAAACTGCGGGGAATACAGATATCCTAGCCAACCTCTATCCGAATGCCAATGTTATGAAAGTGCTTTGGGAACTGGGCAGTAGGCGGGACATATATTCCTGAAATGTTGATCAAAGTTAGTGTGGTCATTGTTAATAGAATGCACAAAATACGCACCTGGCTCTACAGTGATTACCATCCCAGCTTTCAATCTTGTGTAGATGGTGAACTCTATATCTAACGAAGACGAGATGTACGTACAGTTCTCCTCTGTCTGAATATGATGATTCATGTAAATCTAGAAAATTCCTGCATTAGGACCCCTGAAAGTAACGGTAAAAACCCACGTACCAATCCCAATTGGATGACTGAGGAAATGAGGGTAAAGTATTCTCTCCAGATCTCCTGTATGGAGAGTAAAGCCTATCTGTTTCAGTTCCTGTCTGAGGAGGTCGCAAGATTTTCGATGCAAGTCATGAAGACTCAATCCCTCTGCCTCAGTGCATAGCCCCACAAGAGTCTTCTGCGCAGATAGCACTGCGCTATATAGCTCCTTTTGCGGAGGTGTAAAGGATCCATTGGCTGGATATGTGCGAGCTTAACCAGATATGGGTAACATGATATTGGAAGAAGAATGAGTAATACCCACTGATATCAGACGCGTAACCGCTTGAAAGTGTTAGTGCGCCAGAAAGAACTCGACGACATGACTCACTTATATTCACATCCAGCGTCCATCAAAATCATTTCACCATCTTGTATAACTTGATTGTTCGATGTATAGTGTATGATGAGTGCATTTGGCCTGCACTACATATTCAAGATCTTAATGTCATACATTAGAAGCTGATAACTCACCCAGATGCAACAACGGGGACATATGCAAGGCGCTGTGAACCTGATAGACTACACAAATATTCAAAATGAGCTGCCAGTGCACTTTCTGAGATGCCGGGTCGTGTAAAGCGCATTGTCTTGAAGACGAAAAACTATCGCGTCAGAATAACAAATGATGGTCAAAATAGCCAATGACCTTCGCATGGGAGCGACCGCTAATGTCAGCGGCCATTCTCATGACTTGTTGCTCGCAGACACTCTTGAATGCTCTTAATTGGGCAATGAGAGGAGCAAGAGGTTTCCGCCGGGAGCTTGACAACGACTCCACGACACTCTCATACTCCGACCGAGGATTGACAGAAGGCGAGAGGTACCGAAGTAATGACTTGGTGGAACGCGCATTTTTGCGTGGAGACTGGGGAAGGTCAATATAAACATTAGAGTAGAGGCTAATCATGGATCGCAGTTGACCAGGAAAAGCCTTGATTGTTAGCGCGTCGTCCGCTTTAAAGACATTCAGAGCATCATCGAAGCCTGTCCTGAAAAAGATATTGTTTCAGGACACGGTGTTAGTCTCAAAATTTACCTTGGACCATCCCATTTCTCTTTCGCAGAGTCCTTCCCATTGGAGAACAGTGTCATTCTATATCCTCGAGAAGACGCATTCTTCTCTGATAAAAGGTAAGTCGAAACAAAAAATATCAACTCCGTACTTACCTAGGACAACAGCAGAATCGGGTTCTTCAAAGCCCGTGAGATACCAGAAGTCGGATCCTTGGCGGTATTTGTAACTTGAAGCCATGATGTCAGGCAAGCAATCAGCACAGACTTGGTGAAGTCCTACAATATATCTTGAAACGGGTTTTAAAGTGTTGAAGAAGGAGAGTAGAATGTTCACATACTTCCGCTCATGTATTTAACAGGTGCAGCAATCAGAACCACCACACTATTGCTAGGTAGGCTGTCCATAAGTTCTTTCCGACGGCGCTCATACTCTTCAGACGGAATCCCAGGTGTGAGTTCATTGGGCCTAACTGTCTTGGCTTTGATAACGATGTAGGAAGTGAACCAGAAGGTTTAAGCTCACGTAGGTGGGGGTGTGACTGAAAGAGCGGTTGACCGTAATGTGAAGGCTTGTGGTCGTAACCTGGTACTGCTTCAGTAGCATATGTTCTCAAAGATGTGCAGATTTGTGACGGAGGACATCTAGCGGCGACTCCGCGGAGAGCTGGCAGCAACGAGCGGAAGCTGGAGCACATGAAGAAAGCTAAATCCCAGAACCCGAAACGGGTACTGCCAGTTGGTATAACGATTTTTTATGTCGGCGATGACGTTCACACAGGGCCGAGTTCATACCGGTCTGAATTGTTTATATTTGTTTTTGATTTGTCAGCTGTTTCCTTTTCCTGCCACGTCTGCGGTCACCCGATTAATGCCATTTTAGGCACTACTGAGTCCAATTTGGGATCTTTTGTGTCGACATAATCACAGGCTTTGTATTGGCTTTCCTTTGATCTGGAATTGTTGTTATTCTTCACCTGAGCAGCTGAGGCATGGATTTGCCCAGCTCACAGATACCCTTCGTTCTTACCTTTAATCATGGACTATGACTGGCAGAGGTTTGGTAGGCACAGTCTTGACCTCACTTCAGCAGCGACTTCTCTTGCTTTCACCGCTGTCAAGGGTACAACACGACTGGGGGTAAGCCGAATGGTGCCAAAATTCCGGTGCAGAGCTCAGGTTACTCCGTAGTTCTCGGTTGCTCGAGATGCAGCGTCCAGTGTCGTGGGTGTAGTTGCTTCCGCCCTCGATCACGCAATATTCGGTGGGAGCGAGATCGCTGCGCCGGTCCTAGAAGGCGCGGTCGTGAGCGCTATCACCTTCGCCGAAAGACTTACTCTTGCTCCCATCTATGTTGGCGAGTATATTTCATCAGCTTCCCTACGAGCAGCTTATAGCTCCATCGACATGCTCTCCGTCATCTTCCCTGGCAGCAGCGAAGCCTCTTTCTCTTTGGCATCGTTCATCGATCTGGTAAAGCGTGAGTGGGATCATCCTGGCTCACACGAGCATATCCCAGGGAGAAAGTACGGAATAACAGAGGTCGCTAGAGCTTTGGTTGCATGGGTGTCTCTGCAGGGCATCACTCACGAGTGGCAAGAGCAGAGTTGGTTCCCATACCTTCGCGAGATTCAGTTTCATGACCCGTCCACCGCCCCTCAACTTAAACATACACCTTCACGAGTTCGAGTAACGTCTGACGTGATACTCCCGGGACATCGAGGACAACTAATATCTGCGGACATCGGAGAAGCATCCACGCAGTCTCATACCCGTTCCAGGTCTCCGAGTGTCCTGTCGAAATTGTCAATATCGTCCATATCCTTTAGATGGGCCCAACCGCGCATAGATGTCCCGCAAAAGTCTATAGTTGAGCTAAAGACTAACTTGCGACGATTTTCGAAGATGGTTCTTGCCGGCTATGGTGGCGCAAGTCTACTCTTCTTCGGAGTTCCTCTGCTTCTGACATCGCCGTCCCTGCGTAATGAAAAGGACGCAGAAGAGGCGCAGCTCGAGGACGCTGTGAATGCAGCAGAAGATGAGTTGGAAGGAAACTCCAGAATACCTTCTGATAATCTGGAATACTCTTGGTGGGACATATTGATGGGCAAGCATGACAAGGAAATTTTTGAAAGATCGGTGCACGGGGAGACAGTAGAGCAGCCAGATATACAAGCGAGGGCTCGCGCAACGGCTGTTGTTGGGATAGAGCGCCAGATGCCTAGGTTCTGGGTTTTGACCGACCACGATAGACACGAGGTTGTACTTGTTTTACGAGGTGGCTTTATTTGAAGCGAAGCTGTTCGTCTTAGGCTAAACATGGATTTACAGGCACAATGTCACTCAACGAGCTCGCTGTTGATCTGACATGCGATCCGGTAGAATTTGAACCTGCATTGAGCGCGTCTCAGGAAGATGCTGGAGACAGCATATCACTCCCTGGGTCAAGTAGAAGGAACCCTCGGAGGCGTTTATCTATTCTTTCGACGACTTCTCATGAGAAGCAGCCCAAATACCAAGTTCACGGAGGGATGCTTCGTATGGCCCGCGTGATGGGCGAGATTGGAAAACCAGTCCATGTGGCCGTCATGGATGCATTGACTCGCAATCCTGGATATGGTAATTTAGATTGTTACGATAACATTCGTTAAAGCTGATTGCAAACCAGAACTCATACTTTGCGGGCATAGTTTGGGAGCAGGAGTTGCGGTCCTCTTGGCTATGGTGAAAGTGACGAAACTGTGATTACTATGTATTGATATGTTTCATTCAGATGTGGGCAGACCCTGCAACTTGCTTGACAGTGCCTTCAAGCGGCCTGCCAACGGACCACAACGTATCCGTATATTGTATAGGACCTCCGTACGTTATGTATTTTATCCGACTCGGACGTTTTCTGAATCCCCCTAGTTGTCTGACAGATGCTAGGGCTTAGCCGGTTGGCATCGAAAATGGTCACATCGTTTGTATGCTCCGATGACATTGTGTCTCGACTGTCGCTCGGTTCTGTCCGGGACATTCGTAATGCAGCCCTCTGGCTGTGTGATGCAAATGAGCGGAATGGTGATACGGAAGGATATTCGGTCATCACCAATAGAATCAGGCGATGGAAAGCTGGAGATGGGTCATCGGATGACCTTCATTGGGTAAGTTCTATTTTGCACCCACAGCTCAACAATTTTGGTCGGATTGACACATGACACAGTTTCTGTCGATGCGAAAAACTCTCGAGGCAAATATGCAAATGGCTGATTTATTCCCACCTGGTCGTGTCTTATGGACTGTTAGGGACTGTGACCTACACCCCTCGCATCAGTCCCAGCGGCCTAATACGCATCCCGATAGAACATTGAGACTATTCGAAGTCTTGGACGTTGAGAAAGTATTTTCTCAAATAGTTTTCTCAAGAAATATGCTTAGGTGCGTTTTGACCCGTGACGCGAGATTACACATTGACGCCCTCCTCTAGGTCACATATGCCTCATCGATATGACCAGGTCCTTCATGAACTGCTTTAATACCAAGAGCTTGCTAAGGACATACTATTGTTGATCACCCATATATCCATTACACCGCATTATAAGTTTTGCTCGACTGTCATTCTGATATTCTTACAAGTGTATTCCCGTGCATCCATGTATATCGGCTACCGTGTTGAAAGCCATGGATTAATACCTTCTTGTTCTGCCGAGGACTATCATATTGTTCTGATTCGATCCAAGTACCATGTTAATACTTCATGATTGCTGGACCTGCGATACCGTACAGAGTTTGTTTACATAGACTCAGATAGTTGCATGAAAGGCGATCGAATGTAAGCGCTAGCGATAAGTCTCTGCAGCTGCTTGTTCAAATATTTCAAGGCTCCCGACTCAGGCGCTGCTCCGGCAACTATGGGCCATAGCGAGTAAACAATGCGACGTACAACAAAGATCTATACTAGCTATTAATTCTGCTACTAAGGAAGCTAGTGTAAATTTTGACAAAACTGAACTGTAACATGAAATGCAACACACTATAAGAACATGCTAATCCTGATCACTCTGGTCTCTTGGACGGTACTTGATGCCACGGGACTCAAGTTCAGCTTCTACATCTTCTGGAATACGACCTTTCACGCGGACAGCATACATTCCCCGAACATACTTTGCTGTAGAACAAATTGCAAGCAGAAATCAGCATATATCTAGTAAGCTCACAGTAAGGTAAACTTACATGTCCTTTGCCATCGTGCAACCCAACTAGCTTCAGTGTCAATGACAGCAATAATACCATCGAAGTAGGTGGTGGTGCAAACACTTATGCGGTCAGGAGAGCCTTTCATCTGACAAGACATGAGCGAAAACAGAGAGAATTTACGATGACCTCGGCATACCTGCATGAGCTCTTCGCAATTTGGACAACCATTCTTCCGAAAATCCATAGGATGTTGAATGATAGAACATAGTAAGCATGCTCGGAGCTGTTTGGACCTTGCCTGAGGAGGAATACTAGCCATGACTCGGTTGCCTTGCTACTAGTGTGGTGGACTGAGTTTCACCCCAGCTGGCTTATGTAATTCAAGTTTCGAGCTGCAGCGCGCGTCCTCAGGCTGCAATGTGCATCATAACTAGTAACTTCTTCATGGTTGGACGTGCTGCTATCTTGGCTTTGCTCCCTGTGGTTGGTGTGCTGGGGTACTCGGACACAGTTCCAATTGTAGCATGGTCATCTAAAAGGTTTGTCAACTGTATCAATAAGTCGGTCATTGGACTCACTTCGGCACAGCTCGTCCGTGTTAAACGGTTTATCTCCAGACCTACGTTATGAAGATTCTGTGAGCATAATTGATGGTGTTCTCTCGCCAGAAGGTGCCTGCTCCTTCGATACTGTTCTGGTGATAAACCAGCCAGGCGTATGTACTAGCTTGCCAGTTGGCTATGATACTGACATTATTCTGCAGCTCCGCAGTTCTGACCTTCGTGCATTACCTACTTCTTCCGGACTCTCTGCCATTCTAAACACTGCGCCATCATCAAGACAGTATCCCCACGTGAAGCGTAGTGCCTCTGCTTCCCTCCAGGACATCACGGAGTCTCTGGCAAGGCGCTGCGGCTCGACTTTGACCAATGCTAGTCCAGCAGATGGCCCTTTAGACCTTGCTGAGAACTCCAAGCACGTCGTATGCGTCAATATGCCAGCAATAGAGGGTAGCCCAAAACTCCGCAAGGTGGCTATGTTGGGTCATGGTGAGTTCATACCAAATTGAGGTGTATCAACTTTACACATCATGCACCAGATCAATACCTCTTTAGCGAAATCGAGAAGATCGATGCAGCGTTCACGAGCCACTTGGTTTTGTACGTTGGGTCACCACTTGAACACCCGGGCTACCGCCGTCAGTTACTTCCCCCTTCCGAATTTGACTCAACATACGCTCCTGACAACTCGACTCTTTCTGACGGTGGTATTTTCAAGAGATACCAACTGTTCTCAACACCCCTTCTTGTCGCTTTACTCGTCGTTTTCTTCATCATTGTACCCATTATCATGATGGCTGTTTCAGCTCTTGCCAGCCTCCAGTCGTCTGTGCGCTTGGAAGCACCGAAGGGTTACCATGCTCAGGAAAAGAAGACCCAGTAGATTCCACAGAATTTGTACATTTGTGTTTATCGAGTTTTTCTCTCATAGTAATAAACATGGTCAGGCAAGCAAGAGGGAACGTAAGCAGTAAGGATACACAGGGTATGCCCCCGGCTACCACCAAAATAGTGTGGTACATGTAACAGCTGTAGGGTAGTTACCAAAAAAGCAAGATAGCGACAAATCTACTTGTTAGAAATCCAAAAAAAAAGACAAGTGAGGGACTGAAGCAAAGCCTCAGCTGATGTCTTCCTGTCTGAGAGAATGATGCATGGCTTCGAGTGCAGCAAGATGAAAAGGCAGTAAGGGGTATTCTTGGAAGCCTAACATCGCGCCTGCAAGAACAGACAATTCATAAAAATTGAGTGTGATATCCTTGCGCATGGTATCATCTGAAATTGAGAGGGAAGAACCAGGAGTATGAAGTGCATGGAGATGGTGTATGTAGATGGAAGATTGGGTAGAAGCCGTGCGAGTGGACGGAGACCGAATGAGGATGGATGTAGATATTGGGAGGATGGTTGATGTATCAGAGGTAGTGCCGTCGTTGTCTGGGATGAATGTCAAATCTACCTGTTCCTGAAAAGAGCGCGAGGCAAGGGGAATTCGTGTAGAGGGATATATGGTGTAGGCAGGGGCAGCAGTGTCCACGTAAATAGATTTGGAATCCTTCGCAGGTGCCCGTCTGGATGCCGCCAAGCCCGAAGTTTCATTAAGGTGTGATAGGATAGGCCAGCACAAATTTTGCTCCACGGAAAGCAAGCTGACATGAAAAGGGGGCAAGTCGTTGCACAAGGGGACGGCAGCGGCCAGGTGAACGTTCCATCCTATAGAACACAATAAATAAAGGCAATATAAGAGTCATTCGATAGCACCAACCTTCCAATTCGCTGACAGTCATGGACCCTAGTTTCGCAATGACAATCCGCCACTCAACATTAGCTCTCTTCGCGAATTGCAACGCAAAATTCCAGACTTGCACCACTGCCGATGTCTCTATTTCGTCCTGTATCAGCCATGTCCCGAGATCATAAGTTTCCCCACGCTGGTCAACACACGCAGCGAATAACCATTTTCCACAGGCGGAAAATCGGTAGCCAACGTGAAGGAACGTGTGCCGATCCATGACGTCAAGGGACCGAGCTGGAGTTGTTTGTGCGAAGTGGACAGTACTCGAGGGGCGGGCCAGAACAAAGGGCTGCTCCTGGAAATATGCAACTGTTTCGCTCTTGTCAGAAAATCTTCTAGACATGGAGCGCTCGACGGGTTTGAGCATTCGTCGGTAGGTGGCGTAACAGAGGGCATCGATCTCCGAGTTTTCACTGGAAGGGCTCTCCGAGGAGGAAATTAGGTGCTCAGGGACAAACTGAAAGAGAATAGGAGCCTCAGAGCGCTTGGCTTGGGTCTGCTTAACAAAACTAAAGATTTCGCGCAGGAGGGGTGAGGAAAGCCCAATCGCTAGGTCAGGGATGGCTATATAGAAGACAAGGTCATTGCTTGACTCCAAGCACTGCAGAAAGGACCCTGTTTTGAGCGTTATATTTTGAGCGTATTAATGATCACGAGAGAACATACTTATGGACTTTCTCAAATTCTCTAGCCTCAGAGGCATGACTCCGTCCGCTGAGCACATCGTGCTGCTCCCAGGAGTGAAAGAACCAAGCTGCTTGGCCTGTCAAAGGTAAAATTGATTACTTGAAAACGAGACGAAGGCGGACTCACACTGTATTCCGCAGACATCTTGTTCAACCAAGCTTCAGCTTGATGCTGCTTTTCCAGGCCACCTTCTTCGAGAAACACAAAAGCGACAACATCTCTTTTACCACCGTGAGGCGTGAGGCCCAGCTTCTCCCAGAAGCGCAATGCTGACGGTAATACTTGCACGACACAACCCGACTTGCCCACTGAAAACATGGGTGGGTCTAGTCTTTGAAGGTGAACCTTTTCCCCGACGGGTACACCATCTGTATTGGCGTGGTTGAGCGACAAATGTGATATAATCATCAGAAACTTACCGGATGAAAACATGGTCATTAGTTCTACTGGTCCGTCAAGGACATCCACACGTTTTAGAATGTCCGCCAGTTCTTGTATGTCGCTGGGCCAAACCTGTTCACCCTCTGTAGTATATCGACAACCCCAAGCGCGGGCCCAAACAGAATTTTCAACGACCTCCCGCGCAAGTACTGCGCCTGCCGCTGCCACCTCCTGGTTAATTTTCTCCAACGATGCAGCAGGAGAGACTGGTGTGTGGGCAGCCACAGGTGGTGGAAGCACCAGGCTCATGGGCGCAACTGCCGATCCTGGCGGGCGAAGAGGTTGGCAGAGTGGAAGGAGAAGCGCGTGGTGGAACTGTGTGTGAAGGAGCATGGGACCTAAAGGGAGGTATGATGGAGGTGGGGTGGTTGAGCGCTCACGTTCGTCGTCCATATCTGCGTCGTCTTCAGAAACAGCCTCAGACTTTTCGTCGTCCTCTAGGGAAGGAATTATTTCTTCGTGGACGACGCTGTCATCATACGAGGACAGGAGGAATTGCCGGCATCGCGCTCTTCCATGATCGAGTGACTTGGACTTGCGTTTGACGCCGATAAGTTGACGTACGACGCTGATGCGCGGGTCTGTTGCGACGCTGTACCGCGCACGCAGATCAGCAACGGAAGCTGTACTGTGGTTCTGTGAACGCAAGGTAGGCAAGGGTGAGGTGCGGTCCTCTTCATCTGGCGGACTGGGGAGAGCAAACTTTCCAGCGGAGGAGTACTTGGCATCCGCAAGACTGTGAGAGGGAGCGAAAGCGATGGGGTCGAAGGTACGAGCGAATTGGGAGGGCGGGTGCGTGACCTTCACATGAGGTGTAGAAGGCGCTGAGTGTGAGGCAGTCGGAGAGGGGAGAGCGGGTGCGGGTGCTGGAGTGAACGTTGGAACATCTGGAGAGAGCTGAGTGCCTACTGCATGGGTAAAGGACACACCAACATCTGCAACACCAAATATGCTTGGTGAGAGTGCAAGTGGTGCGGGCGCAGAATCCGATGGGCGCGAGGGACGATCAAAGAAACTGAAGTCATCGTCAGTGAACGTGAAAGTATCGTAGTCTGCAAAGTCTACATCGAGACGACGCTGACCAGCAGGATCCATATCATAGTCCATAAAGTCAGATGCGGGTTGTGACCAGGTAGAGTCCATCGTGTTGAACGGGTCAAATGAAGTGGGGACAGGTACAAGGTTTGTCTGCGGCAACGGTGTTGGAGGTTCAGACCCAGAGGGGGGCCCGGGAGGAGCAGGGGGATCAACTGCAGTTACAGGAGAAGGATAGAAGACACTCGGATGAATATGTGGTTGTTCAGTGGGTACTGGAGGGGGTGGATGCGGAAGATTTGTGTCGGGTGCTGGGGTGGGGACGGTAGAGACTATAGCTGCAGCCGGTGTGACCTGCGGCGAGGCAGATACTGATGCCATCGCTTCGCGCTCCCTGCGAATTCGTTCCCGTTCCCGGTCTCGCTCACGCACGACAGACTCGACATAACCGCCTATCTCTGATGCGACATTCTGCAGGCTGGTAGTGTGTGAAAGGGTTAACGCGTGGAGAGCCCTGAGGGGGGATGGAGAAGCCGTGGCGGGGCGACGTGTTAAAGGGTGATTCGTTAATACCCTTAACGGTGTGCTCGGCGTGTCTACACGGGGTGTCCCGACATTGATTGATGGTGGAGGTGGTGGAGGCGGGGAAGGCTGAAGCTGCGCAGGTAGTTCTGGAATATGTGACAGTGGCTTGCGTGATGATGAATTTGAAACCAGACATAGGGCTGTGGGCCAGATTATTGGTGTACCCTTGTCTTCGCCCTGCTTATTTTGCACCGCAAGCCATGCGATGATATATTGAGGGTCTTTGGGGCGCGGGAGGGGGTGCGGTGCAAGAGATCGAGTAAATTGGATGGCAAGGGAGGCAGTAGGACCTGAGTAATTGGCGAGGAGGAAGGCAGGGACGCCAGTAGGAAGAAGGATGAGTGGTGTACCAGGTGGGAGGGGGAGGAGTGCGGGAAGGGGGACGTGTGGGAGGGGCCGAAAGTGGGAGTGAACTTCAAGTCGATTGGACGCGAGGTGGAGATCCAGGTGGCAGTGGACGAGCGGGCTGGACAAGAATTATGTCAGTATCAGAAATAATGGGCGGTAGGGACAAGATTCATACCGCAATTGCGCATGATGATCCCAGTCTGCGCCCCACTCGTCGGATATTGCATTGGATATGAGCAGGAAGCCATTACGGAAACGAAGAGCGGAAGTCAATGATGCGTTAACAACGGAGTCTATGAGACGTGTCCGGACAGCATCAATAAATCGAGCGTATATTTGTCGGAGTGGCTTCCTTGGAAGGAGGCGGGCAGTAGATATGAATGGAGGATCGGTACACGATGCGCATGGGTTACGACTGTCTGCACATGCCAGACTGCATGGATAAAGCTCATGCGGTGTGAAGGACGAAGTTTCTGATACTGCCGCAGTAAGTTGGCGGAGTGAGTGTAGGGTTAGTGACAGCGCACGACAGCTGTACGTAGACTCACTTATCAGATCATCGAATCTGAGCTGTTTCAGAACAGACAGAGAGCTGTCGACTTCCTCGTCGGATGCCACAATGAACGCATGAAAGGTAGACACATCCCGATCGATGTGAACATAGGGAAGGATTGAGTCTTGAAAGGTAGAAACCTGATTTCGTGAAACAAGTTGTCTCCGTGCAGACTCTAGCACATCGTAGTGAGGTGCTGTTCCAGACAGTGAGTATGTCGCGTAGAGAATGCATGGATTCGCGGGAAGTGGGAGCACGGATGAGAGTAGCTTGTCCAATGTGGTGAGCGTCGCAGAAATTTGAGTAAAGGCACTTGATAAAGGCGCTGTTGTGTCAGGTCTGTGAGCCATATAGGCTCATTGGTGTCAATGACGTCAAGGAGCAAGTTGCAAGTCGTCGAGAGTGATGGACAGCAATGGGTTACGCGGTCTGCATGTTCTCTGATCCGTGGTGCCAACTACAAACTTTAACGGACTCACTAAACCAAAAATTCTCAAAGTGAATCACTGCAAAACTGATTCACATTACACTCGATTCTATTGCGTCGTCGTTGTCTACAACGATGATGATTGTATGGACAACAAGTATCGAAGTCCTTATTCGTGCTTTTTGAGATCTACGATATAATATCTCATAACGACCACAGCGACGATGACCACGAGCCCAGGTTAACAGCAGCTTCTGATGCAAACACTGTCATTGTCGTCGACAACGTTGAGAACGTTGACGGACACTGGTAAGGCCAGTGTTGGTGGTATTATTAGCTTATGTAATCGTCGACTACTACCTTTGAAACCCTTCTTCGTTCAGTGACCTTGTCATTGTGTTGAGCGTCTTCCTCGCCATCTTCCTCGTCGTCCCCATAGCTTCCAAAATGAACTCGTCATCTCGCCCAGCATCTTCCTCGACACGTCCTACAGTATCACCAAACTCTAGACCTCAAGTGAATACCCACACAAAAGTTCTAGACACTACACACGGTCGCATCCTCTGCATCGCAGACATCCGCGGTCGACTTTCTGGCCTAAACGATCTCGCGCGCGAGGCTAATGCCAAAGCTATCATTCATACTGGTGACTTTGGTTTTTTCGGTGAGCATGGGCGTCTACCAGTGATCGTTTTTTTTCGTGCTTGACGCGTTTATTATATGTAGAAAGTAACAGTCTGGACCGCATAAATGACCGCACTCTGCGTCATCTGACCATGTATTCGCCACTAATACCATCCACGCAGCGTTCCCACTTCCTCGCACCTGACAACACCTCCCAAGCAATCCGCGCCACCGTCGATATTTCCCTTCTTTCTGAATTCCCTCTCCTCCTCTCAGGTCAACTCAAGCTTTCTGTCCCTGTATATACTGTTTGGGGTGCTTGCGAGGACGTCGTCATTCTCGAGAAATTCCGTGCTGGCATTTACAACATCGACAACCTTCACGTCCTCGATGAGGCAACCACTTATTGTCTTGATGTCGGAGGCGTTAAGCTGAGGCTTCTTGGTTTGGGTGGCGCACTCGTTCCCCACAAAATGTTTGATAATGGTGATGGCAGCGCAACCATCGCTGGTGGTCAGGGTACCATGTGGACAACCGCCCTCCAGATCGGTGAGCTCGTTGATACTGCTCAGCGTGTCTTCGATCCCACCGAGACGCGTCTCCTTGTCACCCACGCAAGCCCCGGACGCGAAGGCATAATGGCTCAACTTGCACTCGTTCTCAAGGCTGATCTCTCTATCAGCGCGGGACTTCACTTCCGTTATGCCTCCAGTTATAATGAGTTCAGCGTGCAAAGCGACTTAGAAGGCTTCCGTCACAAGCTCATTGCTGGAAAGGAAGCCTTTGATAAAGTTTGGGACAGTGTGAAGCAGCAGGTAGACACCGTCATCGATGAGCATCAGCGGGTCCTGCTTGACAAGGCCCTGAGTGTCATTGAGAGGGTACCAAATGCGCAGGGTCCGGAAGAGCCCTCTTGGAAGAACTGTTGGAATTGGAACCTGTGTGACGCTGCATTTGGTTCACTTGTGTTGGATGTCAAGGATGGCAGGATCAGTGCCGAGTTGAAGAGCCAGGGTAAGCCGTTAACACTTTAATTGGTGGCTTTCACTAAATGTTTTATAGGTTTCAATTATGCGTACCGTCGCACCGCAACGCCCAGTAATGTTGTTCCAACACCCAATTCAACGACGTCCTCACTACCGAACGCTACTTCGAACCCACCCACCAAGGGTTCAACACCCGTTCAGGCTGAAAAACCTCTCTCGCCGCATCCAAAAGAGATCAGGTCTCCTCTGGTCCCTGTGGCATCTGGCAAAGAGACACCAAAAGAGTCATCTCCATCCACTCCTGCTCCCAAGTCTAACGGGAGTGGAACACCTGCACCGCCATTAGACAAGGCTGAAAAAGAGAAGCAGAAACGGAAAGAGAAAGAGAAAGAGAAAAAAGAACGCAAGGACCGTGAGCGTACGGAAGCGAAAGAGAAAGAGGCTTCTACATCCGAAGAGAAGGCTGATCCTGCTTTGAACGCACTTGCTCCAGCTCCGACCTCTGCGTCTGCTCCAACTCCAATTCCGGTGTCTGCACCAGAGCAATCAGGCAAAGCAACACCCGAAGCGCCCATCGCTGACGTACGTGACGGGATGAAGTCGCCAACAACGGACAGTACCGGCGTCAGGACACCGACAAGCAAGCGGTCATCGAGACATCCTTGGACTTTATTTGTTAAACTCCCTCAACAGTCGACGGAAGCAGACGTCAGGTCATTCTTTGGCGGTGAGACAGCGGGAGTGACGAAAGTGACATTCCTTCCGTTCAAGGGATCCCCGCATCACCGTGCTAGACCCCTTGCTTATGTAGAGTTTGGTGATGATGAGACCATGAAGGCAGGATTGGACAAGAATGACGAGGTAAGGCACCCGAATGTCGTCCTTTTCAGTGACTGATATTTGCGGTCTAGAAAATGGGCGAGGGTACGGTTAGCGTGCAGATAGCGACAGATCGTGAGGAGCGCGCTGATAGAGGGGTCCGCGGTGGTCCTAGAGGACGTGGACGTGGATTTGCTGCACGGAATTTTGCCGCAGCCGGGCTCACCCGTGGCACGCCTCGCACGAATGGCGAGGCACGCGAGAGTGCTGCTACATGATTGACTCACAGAGTGATTTGATACGACCCTTTGACGACATCATCGGTTTCTACTTTTCCATGATTTCAATGCCATGTCATGTTCGTCTGTTTCTTTATTTAGGCCTTTCACGCAGTTTTTTTTATATGATCGTTGAGGGTACGGTATAGTTTTTGTTGTACTCGTCAAATCATGTTCCTTTATGCACATTGTGCGACTCTGCCATTGACCTACTAGGGGTCGGCGTTGACCGGATATCACGTAACGTTAAACAGTTTGAAACTTTGGCACGAGAACGTCGGAAAATGGACACCCCCAGACTCGGACCCAGACAATACTGCCGGAGTCGGTGACGGACTTGCCCCCAGACTGTCCATTAGCTCTTCCTGATCGGCACAGTGCAGTCACAGTCGCATGTCTCTACCTCACTCGAGCTTCTTCCCGACCAGTTCCATAGTATATTCTAATCTTTGATTTTATATTTCCTGTCTAATCAAACGTTGTAGGACCATGCAGCAGCGGGTCTCGGAGCGGGCGTTGTCGCCGTCTTATGCATGCACCCTCTCGACCTTTTGAAGGTCAAGCTACAGGTCGCCACCACAAACCCACAGGGTGGAATCGGAACCGCCATATGGAACGCTCTGCGCAAAATTCATGCAACTGAAGGATGGAGAGGGTTGTACCGGGGCGTAGGACCAAATATTGCAGGGAACGCCTCGAGTTGGGGACTCTATTTTCTTTTGTGAGTAACGTTTTATCAGTTTCGAAATTTATTTGCAGGGCACTGATATACGTCAGTTACGACATGCTGAAGAAGCGGTCATACAGAGACGACCCGGATCATAGGATGTCCCCGGGAGCATACCTGCTCTGTTCCGCTCAAGCGAGTTCGCACATCCATTCCCTTTTCTTTCTATAATAGTATCTCAAACTGAAATTTACAGGCGCGGTCACAGCTATAATTACTAACCCTATATGGGTCGTAAAAGTGCGCATGTTTACGACGCGTGCCGATTCACCAACATCCTACCTAAGCCTTTCACGTACGTTCGTCTTGTTTCATTTTCATTTGTTAAGCGGGTCGTGTCATCTTAGATGGTATTTCCTCGATATGGAGGCAAGAGGGCTTCTCTGGTTTGTGGAAAGGGACTAGTTTGGCTTTGGTCGGTGTGAGCAACGGCGCGGTGCAGTTCATGGCATACGAAGAGATGAAACGATGGGGTTTCGAACGAAAACGAAAACAGTTTGCAAAGGCCGGAAAGGTGATGGGACCGGAGGACGACAAGCTCGTGAGTCTATCGCTCTCTTTTCTTTGTCTCGTATTTAACGATATTGTCTAGTCGAATGTATCTTATACTTTTATGTCAGGTGCGAGCAAGATATGGGCGCTTGCGCTTACCTATCCATACCAGGTCATCCGCTCTCGAATACAGGTGAGAGACGATTATTGTTTACTCCGTCACATCTTCATCCTCATTTCAGAACAATGCCACAATTCGCCTATATCCTAACATACCGACCACCATCAAACGCACTTGGCAAGGCGAAGGGATTCGTGGGTTTTATCGTGGGATGGGGACGAACCTCGTGCGCGTTCTTCCTGGAACTTGCGTCACTTTTGTTGTATACGAGAACCTTGCATGGTTATTACGGACATCTGCAGCGCGCAGGGAGGCAAAGAGACGAACATGAATATCGAGGAGCATTAATCCACAAAATTATAATAATGCGTCGCAATATTAGAAAAGTCGCTCTCTCTTAGAGTCATTTTTATCTCGAGTTTCGTCATCCCATGGTCCATGGATAGATACATCAATGAGGACGGCCTTAACAGGGTTTGGTTAAATGTTGCATAAATATTAAGATTCAGCAAATATAGGCGGTCTTGATCAAACAGTGGGGACGTACTACCATATCACTGCCATCCTCTTTATATCGACACATTCATTCACTCCATTTATGAAAAATGCTGCAGTTGGTCAGCATTTGCTCTCAGGTCAGAACAACTGATGCGCCTCTCATTGCACGGCTTGACATCTTCTGACTTTTCAGGTGCCCTCTCTGGGTTTGGGGGAGCGATCTTATTACAGCCTCGTGAGCACCTTGGGGAAGCTCTTAGTATCCGATTACATTCAACTTGGTACACAGTCGACCTCCTGAAGACCAGGATTCAACAAGGAGATTCTGCTTTGAATGCCGGGTAGGCTTCATGTACAATTGTATTGCTCAACAACTCATGTCTCTGAAGCAATACAACTATTATATGGCGTACGACTAAGGATATTATCCGGAACGAAGGCATAAAAGGGTTATGGACGGGTACAAGTGCCACATTGGTTCGGTGCGTTCTACTATATTTTGCATCTCTCTCGTCGATGACTTTTTCTACACCAGCAATGTTCCAGGAGTGGCCCTCTACTTTACGAGCCTGACTTATCTACGTTCTATCATGGCAAAGTCGCCCTATTTTTCCGCACACCAGCAGCACAGCCGCGACAGCTCTAAAACCGTCCTTCCGAAACTGTCTAGTCAGGGCAACCTCATAGCAGGCGCGACCGCTCGAGTCGGAGTCGGATTCATCCTCAACCCATTTTCTATCTTGAAAGCGCGTTTTGAGGTTCGTGCGGTCGCGTAAACCACTTTGATTTTAATATCCTAGCGTTACGCAGAGTGAGTTGCATGCATACCGTAGTTTATCCGGCTCGCTTCTTTCTATCGCCCGTATGGGACCGTCTGAACTTATGCGCGGATTCGTTGCGTCGTCGCTGCGGGATGCACCATACGCCGGTCTATTTGTCGTCATATATGAGAGTATTAAACGCGAGACAAGTAAGATCGTTCCTGGTGATGCAAGAATCTAACTCATGTGTTCCAGCGTACTTCATCCCAACAGCATATGCAGTAGGCATACATAGCTTCTCAGCAGCATCTGCAGGTGCCGTCGCCACGATGGCGACACACCCATTTGACGTTATAAAGGTCATTTCTTCAGGCCGTCTCACCTTCTAGAATATCTGATGGCTTCCTCAGACGAAAATGCAAGTTCGTTCAGAAGACAAATACCGTGGCTTCACTACAACTGTCATTAGAATTTTCAAGGCTGGTCCCGCTTGTTTCATGTTTGAGTTGTATTCTCATCACTCAATTCACAGCAACGTGGTGCAGCCGGTTTTTTCGACGGCGCATCTCTCCGCATGTCTAGGAAAATCCTCAGCTCGGCAATTGGATGGGCTGTATTTGAAGGAATGCTGCTCTTCATGCAAACGTGACGAACTATTTAACAATATTATCCATTGATACAACTCAAGCCCGAATCTGTTGGTCATCGAGAGTACTCTTGTTGGATGAACTTTGCGATCGTTTGCAATTGGATATTTGACGTCCCCTCGTAGATTGCACCCTGTAAAGAATACCAGCTGAATAATATAATCCATTCAGTCAGAGCGTCACTCACGATCTTCGAGTCTCTCCAGAATTTCTCAATCCCCGTCTCCCTTGTGAACCCGACACCTCCGCACCACTCGATAGCTGACCCGCTCACATCTTGAGCTACCTGACTAGCCCAGTACTTGGCCATTGCCGCCTCCTTCGTGAAGCTTCGACCTTCCTCCTTCCGCCGTGCTGCATTATATGTAAGCAGACGTGCAGTTTCGAGCTCGACTGCAGCCTTTGCAATTTGGAACTGCATGCCCTGGAAGGTTCCAATTGGCTGACCAAACTGAGTCCGTTGGTAGGTATAAGGAACAGCTTTGTCAAATGCGCCTTGAGCGAGGCCCAACATTTGAGCAGCAATACCGATGCGACCTATGGAAGTGAGCTTTCATAGTGTCGACAATGAATATTGCCCACCCTCGTTCAGAATTTGGATGGCAAGCTGTGTTAGGAAAACTCAGCGATTTCTTCGCCTGAATCAAACCACTGACCTTGTAGCCCTTGCCCTCACCGCCTATGATGTTCTCAGCTGGTACTCGGAGATCGTCAAAATTAAGTGTGCATGTCGATGACGCTCTAATGCCAAGTTTCTCTTCCTTCTTGGCTATTTGCACGCCCATCTCTTTCGTTGCAATAAAGCAAGTAATACCCTTGTAGCCCTTGCTTGGATCGACCTAGGGGCTCTTTCAGCCAATAACGTAAAGCGGGAACAAGCAGAATTCACATTGGCAAAGATGAGGAAGATTTCAGCCTCATGCGAATTGGTGATCCACATTTTGGATCCGTTGATAACCCAATGGTCTCCGTCCTTCTTTGCCCTTGTCTGCAGCGCGAAAGCATCTGAACCTGACGCAGGCTCGGACAAGCAGAATGAACCAAGCTATATGTACACATGAGCGCACATGCAGGAAAGTTCGTGTTCAACTCACCTTTGACTCCGACAGCAAAGGCAACCACTTGTCTTGCTGCTCCTTCGTGCCGTACGTGCGCAGAATAGTGTTCACCAGGGTGTTGTGCACATCACACATGACAGATACGGAGGGGTCTATCTTTGCAAGCTCCTCGATTGCAATAATTGCGGATACAAAGGAGGCTTCTGCACCTCCGTGCTCGACGCTTGTCTCTATGCCCATGAGCTGCAGAGTGGTGTTAGCATGCTTTAGAAAGAGACGTGTTTGGATGCCGACCCCTTGCTCAAAGAGACCCTGAATGATAGTTGGGTCCATAGATTCTTTCTCGTCCATTTCGCGGACCTTGGGGCCAACTACGTCTACCGCGAAGCGCTTCACTAAACGTATGTGATCGGTGTCGCGAACGCAGGTAGATACAAAGATCAACATACCTGAATCACGAAACATGTTCTCCTCCTCCGTGAATGTGTCCAGCGAGTTGAGTCGGAGTCCCTCTGTCCGTATTGCAGACATAAATAATGTTCTGGGTAAGGGATTACAGTGACTTGTACGACCCCTGCAACTTGAAGACCACGTACCTAGCTGGCTCGACCAGTTTTGTTGGACGATGCTTGGTAGCTCGGAGTGCTCGTGATGCGACGCGGAACATGTCGGTGAAAGCGAATAACAAAGCTAGAAAGTAAGCGTGCGCACAATACAGCCGCATGACATCAATTTAAATACTGGTCCAAGTTTGGTCCAAGTAATCACATGGTATTGCTTGGTCGGATCTTCTCTCTTATCATAGCTTAATGCCATAGCGTTGATGCTGAGCGTTCTAGCGCACATAATGCATGGTGATACTGCAGCGAATTTGCAAATGCCGGACCATTGGCGGGTAAATCAATGACGACCAACAGTATTGGGCCGCTCACAGTTTCAATCTATTATCACCATGCCCTTTATATTCGCTACTATGCTGCACCTCAGGCAGCACTTCTCGGTGCCTATGAAGGGTCTAAGAGACCCGGTTTCTATGTTATGGGAAACTAGTCTCTGAGACCCACCCTCCCACCATCTAAATCGTCAGCTCGGTAGTTTTGCAGGTGCGTTTCAATAGCTTTGCTCCAAGTATGTGATCATATCATTCCCAAGTTCTTAGTACACTAATTGATATCCTGCGCATCATCTCGCACCCCTCTCGTACATCCATTGCATCCTCTGATGCACCCTCTGTCACATTCTCTTGCACCCTCTTGCACCTCTGTCGCACCCTCTCGCACCTCTGTCTCATCCTCTTGCACCTCTGTCGCACCCTCTCGCACCTCCATCTCATCCTCTTGCAACTCTATCTCATCCTCTCGCACCTCCGTCCCATCCTCTCGCAATCCTCTTGCACCTCCACAGGCTCCACCCCATCCTCTTGCGTTCCTCTCGCAGCTCTGTTCTATCCTGTCGCACCTCCGTCCCATACTTTCGCACCCAAGAGAATGCAGACTGGCAACGACGCTCTTGACATCACGGAAGCTGCGCTATAACTCGGTGAGTCAAACGTCTGATGTTTTCGAAAATATTCAATAGGTCTTACAATCACTCCAAGTTCTCCATCGCGCGGATTGTATCCCGAGCTCAGTGGACCACGAGCAAAACGAGGCACAGTCGATCATACATTCACATTACTCGATGTCTTCCTTCCTGCCCATCTCATCCATCTCCTCTCCCTCGTTATCCTCCCCGCCTTCTTCCCTTTTCCTGCTCTCATCCGTCGTCCGTATTCGTCTAAGTCACGTCAGCAGTTGCTGACGTGCACTGGGCGTTTGCGCATGGCGTTTGCGGTGTTGGGAATTGCGTGGTGGAGCTCAAATATTGATTGCACAAAGACACGGTCCCGAGAGACTTCTTCGACATCCCATCGTCTGCAAACTTATAATTTGGTCGGCAGCACTGTTATGTTCTCGCTTACCTGTATTGGGCCGTGGCTCAGGCCGATCCGCTGCTGAGAGTAGTAGAAAGCAGGTGCGCGTCATGATCAAGATCAATCGCCTGTAGAATGTGAACTCGAGACGACATGGATCTCTTGATGGGAACTTCAAACCTGCCTCTGCATCCCAGCAGCTCATGAGTCATAACGAATCATCTCATCACGGTCCAACGCATCCCCGTGTCTCATGACCAAAAGAACAGGTCCCAGCCGCTACAGGTGGTGGTAGCGGGATGACAGTGTCATATGGCAGCAGGAGGCTGAGAGTGCAGGATTTGTGGTTGGCAGTGGCCTAGCTGAGAGTGTCATCGCAGGCAGTGAATGTCGACAAAAATACGAGCAGTCACGCTAAAGTCCGAGTTTTTAAGCAGGCTAAGATCTGTCAAAGAAACATACCAGTATATCATATAGTAGCTTCAAAGATTTGGAAGCGTGTTAAAGATGTGTGCCATTGAAGGCCGTTAGCGACTCAGTGGAGAGGTGGTTGTGGTAGGTTGTCGAGTTCAATACTGTGATGAATTCTGGTCTAGTACGTACTACTATATATATGTAGTTACTAGTACTATTGGTGGGCCGTGGCAGGGCCCCTGAAGCTCCCCCATAGGTTTGTCCGAATTTTAGCATTTTTGAGGCCGAAATTTGGCCAAATCTCTGTCCGGACTTAGCATTTTTGAGGCTTTTGGAGGGCCGATGTCTGTCCGAAGTTAGCATTTTTGGCGGTGATTCAGGCGCACTTCAGGGCAGGTCATGTAGTGACTTGGAGATAGACTGCAGCTCGTTGGAATGCTCTTGCACGTCCCTCGGTGAAGAGGGTTATACTGAAGCTTCCAGCAGTGAGGAAAGGATTGTCTAAGAAGCCAGTTAGAAGTTAAATATCCCCAAGCACTAACATACCTTGTTTATGTACTCCCAGTATTGCATGGTGCACAACGCAGAAATGTCACAATTTGGCGGAGGTCACACTGTGTGACCACTGACCTCTATCCGACTTAGCATTTTTGACGGCCAAAAAGTTGCATTTTTTAGGGCTGATTTTGGGGTTCTGGACGGACAGACCTTATAGGGAGCTTCAGGGGTCCTGCTGTGGCGGCTGTTGCAATAACTCACAGTTTGCACAAATAGTGTCATATTCCGAGTCATTTCCCTCACAAGAGTACATTATGGTGTCTTGCAATATGCAAGGCCGACTGTACTGCTATTTTTGACCACTCAAAGTGCTGCTATCATCAATATTCAGTCCACAATCAATGTTTTATGTTTCAGTACGAGTTTTATTCATCATTTGATTGGCTACTGCCTGCAGTGAACATTCACTGTGGGAAGTAAATACCCTGAAAATAAACGTGAGAAACCCTGAGTGACATATTCCAGTGACGTAGATACTGAAAAAAGAACCTGTCATTTTCAGTGTTGACGTGAGTAGTGATGCATTGGGCCTGGCCTGAGGCCCTGAGGCCCTTTGGGCCGAGCCCTCGTAGGTCAGGCCAAAGCCAGGCCCAAGGTAAGGGCCTGGCCTGTAAGTTGGACAGGCCCAAGCCTGGAGCTCAGGCCCAGGCTTCCCAATTTGGAAACATCAACGGCATATTCCATCATGACTTACAGTTTATGCGCCACCGGTGAGTGATTCTTCGTGCGACTGATCTACCGGCAGAATGCGAGTGTACTGATGCCTCCCACAGTGATCTCTGATGATGACACACCTGTCACTGTCACCATGCGAGCAAAGCGCACTATCATTTCATCATCTTGCCTTACCGACTCTAACAACACCGCAACACCAGAACTCAGCAGCCATAAAATCAGCACCAACTCGAGAAATGCTGGCAAGCGCACTTTGGCGGATGCAGACTGGACCCCTTCATCGAGAGAAGAATTAGCGGAGTTATCGAGTGAAGAAGACAAAGCGGCAGGCCACAAAGGTATGTTGCAGCCTCTGCATTTGTATACTTACTCTCTCAATGATTCTATAGGCAAACACCTTTGTCGGGCTCACAATCCATCATTTATGGATGACACCCGTTCTCTCATTGATGACACAGGTATGTATTTTTATTTACTTGTTCTATAACTTAACCTCCCTACCAACTAACAGAAGAGACTCCAAGTACTCGCCACACGACACCTGCAGCCACGGACGAATTTCTGTCCGACATCAATGTACAGGACATATCAATGACGCCTGTACTTCGACACGAGGAGAGGGGCTCCGATGTCAGTGCGTTTTTTGGCAAACCTTATGCACACAAGGCCAAGGACGGGAAAACACGTTCAGTCTGAGACTGCGAGTCATGCAAGTAAGTACATATTCTTTCTTCACTATCTCCACTGACAGAGTTGCAGAAAGAAAGGGTACCCATGCCAGATTGTTAGCGATACATCAACGTGTCAACGCCATATTGCATTCCAGCATTCAGTACATTGGTTTTTCATTTTGATACTTGATGCTTTAACATTTACTACAGAATAATTATTGTCAATGGTGCAAGACTAATAACTTTGAGTCGATGTTGCCTCAAGATATCAAGGAATGCAAAACAGCAGTTGCTATTGCGAATGCGCAGCAAACGAGTCTCGACGGCCATCTGCAAGAAAATCCTTCCAGTAAGGTTGTTGTCCCATACACAGACACAGTCTTTTGTGAAGCTGCTATTGAGTGGCTAATTTCCACTAGCCAGGTAGGTGTTGATTCCTTGTATTCACAGCGATTTTTGATTGTTTTGCAGCCTATTCAAGCAATCAATCATCCAAGCTTTCAGAAGATGATTGCTGTAGCAGCTTGTGCTATGAGCGGTGTTGTTCTGCCAAATCGTAACACTACACACTGCGAAATTATCAATTTGTTCAAGAAGCAGATGATGAAGTTAAAAGAACGCCTCAATGCAAGTTTTCCCTTGTATTATCTAATGTTTCATACTGATGTTGCAAACAGAGCAAGCTTGTGTCTGGCACTGTCAACCTGACATGCGATGCATGGCAGGCCAGTAATGCTGATGGCTATTTTGCTGCTACTGGCCACTGGATCGAGGAAACATCACCTGGTATCTGGCAGCTCGAATGTGCCGTCCTTGGATTCACGCAACTGAATAACTCCCACAATGGACAATGTCTTTGGCAGGCTTTGTTCAAGATAGTGGGCATTGCTCATAAGGTAAGGTGTCGAAATATTGGTGCGCTGTGCTCACAGGGTATTAGATTGGCCACATTACATGTGACAATGCCTCGAATGATGACACAATGCTTGATGAATTGGCACGTCGGATAAAGCAAGGGACCGGGACAATATGGATCTCAAAAAAGCGGCGCATCAGGTATAGTTATGTTGTGATTTGTTTCGTACTTTTACTAACATGGAACTTGAAGGTGCTTAGCTCATGTTATTCACCTTGCGACATGAACTGTCATCTCTTCATACAGCAGTGCCCCATACTATAATCCTGAGCATCAAGATTTGTCCGTCCCTCAAGTCCATGGCCATCGAGATGAAATTGGTCTCATACGAGCCATTGCAGTCAAGGTTTGTCATTTTCTTGAATTATTTGAGTATTGTTTGACCAACTGTATATCAGGCGCGATCCTCGGCTCAATGAAAGCAACTCTGGAAGGATATCCAGACCTGTGCACCTAACCCAAGCTCTGTTGTCTCGCAATTATTACTTGACATGCCCATCTGGTGGTCCTTGACTTATGTCATGCTTGACCGTTGTAGAGACTCATGCCTCTCATAGCCTGATATGGCAGTTTTCACTAGGGAGTACATAGCACAAACTTGTAGTGTCACTCTGTGCACTACCCACAGCTATCTCTATATGAGGCACAGCTTTCCCTTGCAACACGCGCCATGCGCGCCCACTTCCTGCACTTCACGATGTATATGCGCGCGCGCTTTCCCGTGCTTGATCTCCCTATAGCGCCAGCCATCCAGAAGCATCCATCCACTGTCCACCAAGCTCTCTAGTGCGTGTATTTCTGTTTCCCTTATTTACATATCATTCCACCTTTATTTTTATCATGGACCCTTACTTATATATATCTTTACATACTAGACCTTACTCGGTAGCGCTTCGGCTCTGCATGACAGCGCTTAGGTACCATATATAAGCGCCAGCACCCAACTTTACCTACTACTTACTACCTAGAAAGTCGCAGTAGAAATCTATTCCTTGACATCTTGCATCTCTCTTCTCTTGACTTGCATCATATCATCACTTAAGCTTAGTCTCACTCATTTCCGCATACCTGCGCACACTTTCCCACGCTTCGTGCCTTGCGTGCACCTGCGCTTTCTCGTGCTTCGCTTTAGTGCACACTTCTAGATCCTTGCTGCACTCGCTTCCCCTTTAGGGTCGAACACACTTGTCTTCTCAAGTATAGCAGACTAGGCAATGCGCAACCTACAACATTTACAGATACAGTCAGGAGCCTCGTTCACGCTTCACTGTGTTGTTGTTTCTACACCATGCTGAGAAGAAGAGACCTGTGTGTATGATAACATAAATGACGTATTGAAACTGACTAATGTTCTTTAGTATGTTGATACATTTGTCTACGAGCTTGGCCTTTGTGAGGCAAACCTTACAAAACGAGCCAAAATTGATCAATTGAAGCTGCACGAGGACGAGTGGGCTCGTATTACTTTATTTACATCTCTCCTAGCTGTGAGCTGGACATTTTCTCTGTAACTCAAGCTGATTATTACTTTAGCACACCGACAAAGCTCAGCAAAGTTTCTCATCTGATAGGGGAGCATCCCTTCACCTTGCTTTACCAGCCCTCGAGGCCTTACACAAGGCCTGGTTGACACATTCTGAGAATCCCAAGTATGAGTCATTTCATCGAGCCCTACAAGAAGGGATTGTGAAGATCCATGAGTATTATGACTGAAGCTCAGAGTGTGATGCATACATCATTTCAATGTGTAGGTGATCAGTGACTTGTAGTAGTGTTGACATTAACTGTATTTAGTGCTTGAACCGTCACAGAAGGACTCTCACATCAAATGTTTTTGGGGCAAGGCCATACATGCCAAGGCTCTCAAGGAGGCAGAATGAATGGTAGGTCTTCCATTTTCGAGATATGATATATGCTTACATCAAGACTAGTTTAAGGAAGAGCATATTAAGTTGTATGGTGAGCATGGTGTTCCGTCGTCACCAAAAAAGAAGTCTGGTAAGGTACATGCACTTCTTCAAGAGCTCTCTAGTGATGATGAGAGTGGTGATGACAAGCCGGAAGAGTTGGAAGTGGATCCCCAGCTGTCATGGCTAAGAGAATTCCACCTCTACCTTAACTCACCTACTCTAGTTCCCGATAACATGTCTATCATTAAATGGTGGGGGGTAAGGTATCATTTCGTGTCAACTGAATTGTTGTTGATCTAGCTTAATATTATAGGTGAATGTTTGTCAGTACCCTGTATGGGCATCCCTTGCCCGTGATCATTTGTCTATCATGGCTACAGTTTCGAGCAAGTGAGCTTTTTCTGCTGCAGCTCTGACTGTCACAAAACATTGTAACTGTTTGAAGGGTGATGTTGTGGAGGCAATTCAGGTGCTTCGCATGATGTATCAACGTGATTTGATCTTCCGAGAGACTCCTTCAACTTTAGAATTAGCATCAGAGGGACTGGATGATGGGGAGGAGGAGGAGGAGGACATTTCAGATGTATCAGGTGTTGAGTATTGAGTATCTAATTTTTCTGGTAGTGAAATAGATGTTTTGATACATTTTTGACTTGTAAGCCCTGGCCCAGGCCTGAGCCAAGCCCAAGCCTGGCCCAGGCCCTTCTAAAGGGCCTGGCCTGATTTTTGTCCAGGCCCGAGCCCTCTAAAGCCAGGCCCAAGCCCTGGCTTTCAGGCCAAGCCAGGCCCGATGCATCACTAGATGTGAGAGTCATGTCTGTCAGTACTTGTGACACTGACTAATTTTCAGCATTCACTTTGTCAGTGCCGCAAGTACTGAATATTTTTCAGTGTTCATTTCGTCAGTGCCGCAAGTACTGAATATTTTTGAACAGCAACTCAGTCTGCAAATCAGCGTCAGGCACAACAAGCGAGTCCCACCACTGCAAACATTCCCCCACAGTCAAAACGAACCTCCTCTCCGCTGGCCCTGACACAAGCCGCACCCAACGTGACGAAACTCCTATCTCCACTCAATCAGCCCTCTCATTCTCCCCCTTACCACACGCCTACTGGCTCATCAGGCGGTGAGAGTGTGACTGCAGTGTATGTGGACTACGTTTCATATAAGCGGGACTCATATCAATCTAATGGAAGCTCCTCCCTTAGGGTTCCCAGTCCGCCACCCACTGTGCAGAAAGCCATTGTCACCGACAATGCTCGTGTCATGCTGCCTGCGGTCAGCAAATTTGCAAGCAATACACCTCCCCTGCAGGCCATGAAGACCTGAACTCTCGACAAGTCGCTGCCTGTCCACAAAGAGCCAGAAGACAATATTGCAACCTCTAAGAACGGCAACGACTATGCTCATGGGAATGACTCTAATGAGGATGGTGATAATGACACTCTCATAGAAAATGACAATGACTTTCCCATCGACAGTAACAGAGACCACGACGGAGAACTAGAATTGTATACCCCATGCTCACCTGCTGCCAGCTTACCAGAACCATACTCTGCCAGGTAATACCCCACGCAGCCTGCAAATGCGCCTCTCAAGCCTCATAAAGCACCACCACAATGGCAGCACAGACCGTCTTGGCCTTCGAAGCTTCGATGCAGCCATCTTTGAAAAGCCTTCCACCAGGTTTACTAAGGAGTGCCGTGAGTTGCCTGCACTTCCAGTGATTATCACTTATTCATTGATGTTGTTTGCTCAGTTCCCTGCATTTCGGCACACGACATGCAGTCTTCATACATTTGCCGTTTCTGTTGTCAAGAAGTAGGCTTCTGTTTTTAGGACAAGTGGCAATGAAATACACTGTACATGTTCCAGCTCCTCATATGTATATATATCAACATTTACTCCGCCTCACTTTCATCTGTATTATACCCAGCACCATCAAAGGCTGGTTTCGCAAAACTGCTTCTGCGGTCAATGATAGTCCATTCCCTGTGACTCTTGACCATCCCTACAACTCCTTTTACATTCCATAGGTCGGTGATGATGCTGGCAAGGTTTCTTGAATAACGTGCTTCCTCCTTGGTAGCATTCCTACCCTCGGTCTGACATGGTCGAATGAGCACAAGCAGAAGAGTTTTGCCAGCAAGCCCTCGCCACTGAGTGTCGTTTGACAATGAGAAAACCAGTATTTTCTCGAGATGACCATATTGCACCAACTGAACCACGTGAAGAGCTCCATTTACACGGTCTTCATATTCATGTTCGTACTAAGTAACCTTGTCAACTTTGGAACTAATGTGTGATATAGTAGACTCACTCGAACTTATGACGAGTTCCTCTGCTTTTTGGATGACCTGGTGGCACTGTGCGTCCGAATACTGTCTCCGCCATTTTGGATACGAACTTTTTTCCAGAGTGCCATCACAGCTGGGAGACGTGCAACAATCACCCCTCGCCTTCCGCCAATAAGTTGCCTGAAATACAATGCAACTTTAACCCACTCATCATGGTCAGGTTCATATGAAGTCACTCGAGGGGGATGAAGAACATAAGCATCATCTGGTAGGACTGTTTATGTTGTTATCTCAAGTCATTGGACGGTGACTTACAATCTTTGAAAACAGTCTCATGCATTGTTAGCTGGGACCAATCCCTCCGAATACTTACTCCTGGACATCATACCGAAGGACCACTTGCTGAAGGTACGTCATATATAGAACTTCTTTGTTAAGGTTTCCCCAAGGCTGAACTCTTGACTTTAGTGCTATTTTGAATTTTTGACAATAGCGCTCCAGGAAAAATGACCATGTGGTCCACACGGGTCCGCATCGACAAATGTCATCAGCAATATGAAGCATTCCGTGAATTGGAAGAGTGCAGGCTGGTAATCTTGACTTGTCATGCTGATAGTAGTACCTTATAATGATATCAGCCATGTTCTACCATGTCCTGCAATAGACTGCTTACTTTTTATACTTGACTACCCAGCTTGCAATTCACTGTTCCAATTCATCAATCTCCGCATGCATGATTGAGAACTGTAGTGTTTTTTTCATGATCCAAACTAACTCGCAAAGATGCTTGTGGTATTTTGTGTTCGGAAAACGATTACGCAGGAGTGTTGGGGCAAGGTAAATGATCCAGAATGACCATGATTCTGCTGTGAAGTTTGAGTGATCATCCACGATATTGCTGAGGACTCGAACAAATGTAGCAGGAATGTTTGCGATTGCAGCGGCAGTTTCTGCTCCAATTTCAGTCCATATATGATCAACTATCTCATAATCTTCTTTTCCAGCATCCATACCCTTGAATTTTCCAGTCCAGTGCTTGACAAGCATCAGGACAATATTCTCAAGGAAGACGTGCATCCATTCCCAAGGAAAGGACCTGGCAAAGTCCATTGACCCTACTTGCCGCCTGTCAGAAAGGTGAAGGTGGCCTGCGCGGAGACCATTTTTCTTGCCAATCCTCTCCTTCTCCGCAGCAGTGTCTGCTTCATCCATCTCTTGCAGTACCTCTTCAAAATAAGCATGGCTGCAAAGGGGGAGCTGAAGGGGGTCCCAGTGTAGGTTCGGAGTATTAAGTTGAGTAGGGTGAGTTAATGGGACGTAGTAATTAGTCTTATTTGCAGACTTATTTCGAACACCAGTGATCAGACATGACCGACATGGTGCAAAGCCATTATGGCCACGTATTTCCAGTAGTTTTTCTATCGCAAGGATATCACCGAGCTTGAAAATGTTGTAGGCATGGAGCCAGAACATTTGCTTCCCAAGGCTATCAAAGGTGAGTGCGCCATTGGCGAGTTTGGCACACTCATTCTCAAATGGGACAAGGAAGGATGCAATATCTTTTGGAGATTTTGGTCCTGGAATGACTCCAAGGCAAATCAGATGTTCGTGGTGGGTGCGCATAGTGGGGGGAAAGTTATAGATCTGGATAAGGATTGGTGTTGCAGAAGGCCCCTTGCGATATCGTCCAAACAGTAGATATCCATCAGTTGCTAAGGAAAATGCAATGTCATTTTTTCCAGAGAAGTACTTATAGTTTTTCTGAATGCCATCCACCAGCACAAACTTGTCCTGGAGAGACTGATAGATCTCACCATCAAAGACATCATTGATGGTATGGGGGCTGCTGTCATATTGATGGCAGTATAAGAGTTTTTCCACTGTATCTTCTTGGGCAAACAGACCCTGCAATTGAGGGACCAGCGGCATGTAGGAAAATTGACGTCTAGGCTTCCCTTGAACATCAAAATGTCTTTCTCCACAGAAGTCACATAGATCACTGACTGTATCTTGCAGTATATGCAATGCAGGAATTGATACAGCAATCTATTTTCATGGGCATGATGATAGTAAGTCCCTCGAAACGCTTGAGCATTTTATACTCAGAGTCGATGTCCATCTTGTGACTGAACTTTTCTCGCAGTTCATTGAACATTGCACGTGGCATATGACTCTTGATGCGGAGACTGTGAGCATGGAGGTTATCTCTATCCTGCTCTGTCAACAAGGTATTGCCTGTATTTAATCTCTTTTGTTACTAGTGAATACTTTCTAGTAGTGATTAAACTCACGAAGTGAATAATGCAGTGCCTCAATCTCAGCATCTACACGGCCACCTCTCAAATCTAACTCGTCTATACCATCATTTTCCTCTTCTTCATCATATGGAACAATTTTGTCTGCGTGACTCAGATTACTCGCAGTATCTTCATCAGACTCCTGATCTGAATGGTTCGGGCTTGGGTCTTCATCATGCTCGCTCATGCTCACATCACCAGGTGCATTGGATGCGTGAATCTCAGGCTCTAGATTTATTGTCTGTGGATCTTCCGATGATTCCGTGGGGGAAACGGAAGGTGATAGATTGATAAGTTTTGCTTTTTTGTAGTGACAGAGTCGCTGGCGATAACTGAGAAGGCATCCACGTTCCCTGCATTCGAGAGAGCAATGGCAATACTTTCTTTTTTTGTTGGACATTATGGAAAATAAATGACAGTATCAAGTAATGTTCAAGCAAGTAATCGTTGTGAGGAAGTGGTGAAAGCGTGATCAGTGGTGAAACCATTGTACATCCAGGAACAGTGTCCTACAATTGTTCTAGCATCACATTTTAGGGAAAACAATCTCCATTCTGGATGTGCATACAATGCATATCACGTGAAGTGTCAATTTCAAAGATTCGGAGGGTCAGAAGGTACAGTTTCCCAATTGATAGTATTGGTAGAAAGAGATGTGCGTGGAATTTGGAGGCTGATGGCAGGAGTGTACTTGAATGACATAAACGAGCGAAGGCAGTACACATCGTGCTCAACTTTTCCAGCCCGAATCGACATTTTGCTCCAAGTCTTTCATGAGGTCCTTAGCGAACAGACTAATGACGTCCTTGACAATATTCTCAGCTCCCGCGGCAATGTACTGAGGATCCACACCCAATTCCTGGGCATGGAAGTCTCCTCCGAGTGAGGCAGATATCTCACCGCTAGGTTCACCTCAGCCCTATTCATCATCATCATGTTCAGTTCAAAGGTAACCAAAACAAAAGCAGAACTCACTCCTTCGGCATACCAGTAGAACTACGAAGCTGTGTGAACATATCATATGTATATTTCATGAACTGGTATCTGTCTGTCATGGGCAAGCGTCAGTGGTGGTCCTAGCCCAGTGGAATGTAAATCTCACAGCCTGAGTATGAGACAGATCAGATGAGTGAAAATCGGCTTCAGCAGGTTCACTGTCATTCTAAGGCGAGGGCGGGTGAAGATGCGAGGGCGGGGAATATGCGAGGCCGGGTGAGATTGGGAGGCCGGGTGAGAATGTGAGGGTGGGTGAAGATGCGAGGGCAGGTGAGAATGCGAGGGCAGGTGAGAATGCGAGGGCAGGTGAAGATGCGAGGGCGGGTGAAGATGCGAGGGCAGGTGAGAATGCGAGGGCAGGTGAAGATGCGAGGGCGGGTGAAGATGCGAGGGCAGGTGAAGATGTGAGGACGGGTGAAGATGTGAGGATGGGTGAAAAGGTCTGATGTTGTGCAGAGGTCATCGATGACCGGTGCATACGCTCCCCATAAATGCGGGAGGTGAAACACTGTGGGACGACATGTAAAGAGAATGCAACGAGGATGCCACTTGGGATAACTTAAAAAGTGCACCTTGATGATTCTCTCTGACACCAGGCAAATTCACCAGCTGCTCAATACTGCATCGCTTGAGGCGACAGGTTGAGTGGTACTGTCTGGTGCTAGAATTGGCAAAGGCAAAGGTGTAGGGCAGCATCTGGTGCTAAAATTGGCGAAGGTGAAGGCATAGGGCAGCATCTGGTGCTAGAATCGGCGAAGGCGAAGGCATAGGGCAGCATGAAACGCCCAGAGGCACAGAGGGTGTCGAAGCACTTGGAGGCTCGGTGAGGGAGGAGCGCTGGAGTGTGCCAAAGGAGAGATCAAAGAAGAGTTGGATATGGAGGACCTGTATGCGGGAGAATGAGTTTGAGGGGATGAATGATGAAATGAACATAAAATGTACCTGATTCACTGTATGTATTCAATCTTGGTAGTGTGGGCATTCCTTGGGGATGATGCAGCATCTTGCAAGAGGGTGAGAATGTGAGGTTGGGTGAGAATGCGAGGGTGGGTGAAGATGCGAGGGCGGGTGAAGATGCGAAGACGGGTGAAAAGGTCTGATGTCGTGCAGAGGTCGTCGATGACTGGCGCATACACTCCCCCATAAATGCAGGAGGCGAAACACTGTGGGACAACATGTAAAGAGAATGCAACGAGGACGCCAACGCCAGCTGTGAGAACGAGTGTGGGGCTAAGCTGCTTGACATTGTATGCAACAAGGAGAGTGCAGCAGGAGAGCGTGTGGTTGATGCCACAGGAGGCGACTGCATGGCTGATTGGCTCAGCGCCATGTGGGATGACTCCTCTGGCAAAGTGTCAGATAACTTTTGCAGATGGTGCACTGCGTTGTGGATATGGTTTCGTAGTTCCTGCGCTTGCTGGGGTTTGTAGGTGTTGTAGCCCATGGGCCAGCATAGGGTCACTGCACCACCATGAATGAATAGGCGGATTTGGCAACTGAACTCTTGTAAGATGAGTAAGGAGAGTTCACTGAGGAGGGTGAGGAGGAACTCCCTTCCATGGGCTGCAGCCATTGAGCAAGCTTAGGGTTAGGGTTAGGAGTTCGCACCTGCGCAAAGCAAGTTTTTGGGGGCAAGTTGGAGAACTTGTACATCTCACAGTACTAGTACAACTTGCTACACCCGAACCATTGGCATCCATGCCAGCTTCCAAGCTGCACTGTATGTATTGCCTCCAGTTTGGAGCTGAACAAGTTGTATTCGTATGTGTGTACATACTTAGAATTCAACCAGTCTTGGTGAAAATTTTGGTTGTAATGATCACGTGACCATTAACACAACCAAACATTGGCTTCGGTTGATGCAAACAACACATAAATAACCCCTACCACTTACCACTAACCATGCCTCACACACAGACTATTAACAAGCCTTCTCTAGGAACCAAGAAGAAATTCCGAGCACTACAGAGGCAAGTTGATGCCAATGAGCGGGAGGTACAACACATGATGCGTAAGTCCTATGTTAGCACTAGTCAAATGTCCTAACTGCGAAAAATCTAGGTGAGAAAGAGGCCTGCAAGAAACTCAAGGCGTGTCAGAAGAAGGGCGCAATTATGTGTCCTGATGGCACTGCCGGACAACATTTCAATTTACAGCACGCTATGAATCTGGATGATAGGGATACCGTGTATAAGAAAATTTGAGTAAGCATTTTTTTTCTATCTGTGTGGATTCTCACAGACATTATGAGGTACAAGATCATCGAAATCGCCAAGGATAATGGTCTACACCTCGAGACCACCATTAGATACCAGCTGCCAATGCTGCTAGGCACATTGGTACATATTTTTTGTTCTCCTACATGCATATATGCGCTAATGATACTAATAGGCCATGCTTGAAATCCCATACCTCACACACTTTAAGGATGGCTGGCCCATCAAAGATTTTTGGCAACAATTCTTACGAAATCATGCCAACTATAGGAGAAGGATGGGTTATGATGCGCCCAGCTCAAACAAGGTATGTAACAATGGCCTGTCATTTGACCATTGACTGTTCATTTTATATAGATTACACTCTCAAGCCATAACAAGTTGACTTGGACGCATACATCCACCGGCTGTGCGAAGTTGCCAGCTCCTGCAGCTCACTCTGACTCAGATGATAGTAGCGAGACGGACCCTGGATCAGATGAAGAATTGGACTCCGAGGAGATTGGGCCAGGAAGTGAGGGAGGTCTGCCTGCTGATATTGCAGAGCTCTTCAAGAAATGGGTCGAGGATTTTTTGAGTGAGCTGCACTCATATTATGTTGCTTGGCTGCACTTACGGCCCTTCAGAAGCCAGACGGGCAAAGGAGGCACTCCAAGCACCTCACACTGACCCTCAGGTAAACAAAAGGCCCACGACAGCAGCCAAGACTCGTATTAGCAGTACATCCAAAGTCACAAGAACCAGTAAGAAGGCCAAGACCATGGCTCCACAGCCTCGTAGTAGCGGTGAGACTGCCATGGCAACAACACCAGTAAGTGACCTCGACAAACCCATGTGTAACTTACCTCCATGATCTGGTGTTGGTCAGCCACAAGTCCAGGCTCCTTCGACATCGTCATCGAAGACAGTGTTGAAGATTCCTTTAAAGGTATGCCCTTTCGTGCATTTTTTAATCTCAAATGTGTAGCCTGCCCCTAACCACACCCCCAGCCTATCAAACCCAAAGCAAAGACCTCATCCGAGTCAGCATGTCATGATGTTCATGAAGACACACCAGTACCGCATTCTGGATCCCAGCACAGCGAAGACATCCCAAAGTTCTGCCCAGATGACGATTGTGAAGACCATGTCCCTCCTGTCCTGTCAGCCGAGCTTGTCAAGTTGTTCCATGACCATGCTGCCTTCATTCAGCAGGACGGTGATGACACTTGCAACGTCCTTCGGACTACGCTCTACATTTGTTCTGCCATCAAATCTGAGAACCATCTGGCACACCGACATCGAGATATCGCTTTGTGTGGTTGGCCGGTATCACCTGATTTTGTTGCACTAAATGATTTTACATGGTCATTGGAAGCTGATATCGCTGCACTCATTTCAGATCGAGGTGTTCGAGCTGAACATATCGTCTGGAAGTCATTTCTCAACTGTCTTTCCCAGTATTACAAAGAAAATACTGAGGAGGCGTGTCTTCATGCGTTCACAAGGGACAGGAAAGGTGCCTCTTCTTCAATTTACATTTTTTCAACAGCCAGCTTGTGAGTGTCATACTTGGCTTTTGACAATTGCTGGTAACTTTCATTCTTGCAGCTATGGTCCAAAAGGAGAGCACATCATTGCTTATGCGCTTGAAGGAATGTTTTGGACATCAACTCTCCCGCTCAACGCCATTCGCCCACTCGACGTCAAAAAGTTCACAGACTTTATTCTCATCCCATATGTCGCTACTAGTGCAATTGCACACAGGTTCGGCATCACCATCGCAGAAGCTCACACCATTCGGCTAGATAGTAGATCAGCTGGAATCGACTTGCATCCTGCTCTTGACTCAGACGAGGAACTAGACCAGATCTACAGGACCAACATCCAGCGCTCAAAGTCCAACACCAGAGTTGCTATCCATGACAACCAGTCTAGTAAAGGTGGTCCGCCAAGGTTGCGCCGGGCAACAGTTCAGCTCATAGAGGTGCTTTCATTTATATTTTCAGACATTCACTGACTGTCTATCCATCACAATGAACAGGCTACACTTCCACAACCTGGACCATCTCAACATCCCAATGTCACGCGGTCCTCTTCTGACTGCCCAAGTCAAGAATGCTCAACTACAACTTCCTGTCCACCAGACAACACACTCTCTCAACTGACTCCACTACCACCAGTGAGTGCTATTATGCTCATGTATCCTTACCAGACTTCTTTTTTGGTGACGACGGAACACCATGCTCACCATACAACTTAATATGCTCTTCCTTAAACTAGTCTTGATGTAAGCATATATCATATCTCGAAAATGGAAGACCTACCATTCATTCTGCCTCCTTGAGAGCCTTGGCATGTATGGCCTTGCCCCAAAAACATTTGATGTGAGAGTCCTTCTGTGACGGTTCAAGCACTAAATACAGTTAATGTCAACACTACTACAAGTCACTGATCACCTACACATTGAAATGATGTATGCATCACACTCTGAGCTTCAGTCATAATACTCATGGATCTTCACAATCCCTTCTTGTAGGGCTCGATGAAATGACTCATACTTGGGATTCTCAGAATGTGTCAACCAGGCCTTGTGTAAGGCCTCGAGGGCTGGTAAAGCAAGGTGAAGGGATGCTCCCCTATCAGATGAGAAACTTTGCTGAGCTTTGTCGGTGTGCTAAAGTAATAATCAGCTTGAGTTACAGAGAAAATGTCCAGCTCACAGCTAGGAGAGATGTAAATAAAGTAATACGAGCCCACTCGTCCTCGTGCAGCTTCAATTGATCAATTTTGGCTCGTTTTGTAAGGTTTGCCTCACAAAGGCCAAGCTCGTAGACAAATGTATCAACATACTAAAGAACATTAGTCAGTTTCAATACGTCATTTATGTTATCATACACACAGGTCTCTTCTTCTCAGCATGGTGTAGAAACAACAACACAGTGAAGCGTGAACGAGGCTCCTGACTGTATCTGTAAATGTTGTAGGTTGCGCATTGCCTAGTCTGCTATACTTGAGAAGACAAGTGTGTTCGACCCTAAAGGGGAAGCGAGTGCAGCAAGGATCTAGAAGTGTGCACTAAAGCGAAGCACGAGAAAGCGCAGGTGCACGCAAGGCACGAAGCGTGGGAAAGTGTGCGCAGGTATGCGGAAATGAGTGAGACTAAGCTTAAGTGATGATATGATGCAAGTCAAGAGAAGAGAGATGCAAGATGTCAAGGAATAGATTTCTACTGCGACTTTCTAGGTAGTAAGTAGTAGGTAAAGTTGGGTGCTGGCGCTTATATATGGTACCTAAGCGCTGTCATGCAGAGCCGAAGCGCTACCGAGTAAGGTCTAGTATGTAAAGATATATATAAGTAAGGGTCCATGATAAAAATAAAGGTGGAATGATATGTAAATAAGGGAAACAGAAATACACGCACTAGAGAGCTTGGTGGACAGTGGATGGATGCTTCTGGATGGCTGGCGCTATAGGGAGATCAAGCACGGGAAAGCGCGCGCGCATATACATCGTGAAGTGCAGGAAGTGGGCGCGCATGGCGCGTGTTGCAAGGGAAAGCTGTGCCTCATATAGAGATAGCTGTGGGTAGTGCACAGAGTGACACTACAAGTTTGTGCTATGTACTCCCTAGTGAAAACTGCCATATCAGGCTATGAGAGGCATGAGTCTCTACAACGGTCAAGCATGACATAAGTCAAGGACCACCAGATGGGCATGTCAAGTAATAATTGCGAGACAACAGAGCTTGGGTTAGGTGCACAGGTCTGGATATCCTTCCAGAGTTGCTTTCATTGAGCCGAGGATCGCGCCTGATATACAGTTGGTCAAACAATACTCAAATAATTCAAGAAAATGACAAACCTTGACTGCAATGGCTCGTATGAGACCAATTTCATCTCGATGGCCATGGACTTGAGGGACGGACAAATCTTGATGCTCAGGATTATAGTATGGGGCACTGCTGTATGAAGAGATGACAGTTCATGTCGCAAGGTGAATAACATGAGCTAAGCACCTTCAAGTTCCATGTTAGTAAAAGTACGAAACAAATCACAACATAACTATACCTGATGCGCCGCTTTTTTGAGATCCATATTGTCCCGGTCCCTTGCTTTATCCGACGTGCCAATTCATCAAGCATTGTGTCATCATTCGAGGCATTGTCACATGTAATGTGGCCAATCTAATACCCTGTGAGCACAGCGCACCAATATTTCGACACCTTACCTTATGAGCAATGCCCACTATCTTGAACAAAGCCTGCCAAAGACATTGTCCATTGTGGGAGTTATTCAGTTGCGTGAATCCAAGGACGGCACATTCGAGCTGCCAGATACCAGGTGATGTTTCCTCGATCCAGTGGCCAGTAGCAGCAAAATAGCCATCAGCATTACTGGCCTGCCATGCATCGCATGTCAGGTTGACAGTGCCAGACACAAGCTTGCTCTGTTTGCAACATCAGTATGAAACATTAGATAATACAAGGGAAAACTTGCATTGAGGCGTTCTTTTAACTTCATCATCTGCTTCTTGAACAAATTGATAATTTCGCAGTGTGTAGTGTTACGATTTGGCAGAACAACACCGCTCATAGCACAAGCTGCTACAGCAATCATCTTCTGAAAGCTTGGATGATTGATTGCTTGAATAGGCTGCAAAACAATCAAAAATCGCTGTGAATACAAGGAATCAACACCTACCTGGCTAGTGGAAATTAGCCACTCAATAGCAGCTTCACAAAAGACTGTGTCTGTGTATGGGACAACAACCTTACTGGAAGGATTTTCTTGCAGATGGCCGTCGAGACTCGTTTGCTGCGCATTCGCAATAGCAACTGCTGTTTTGCATTCCTTGATATCTTGAGGCAACATCGACTCAAAGTTATTAGTCTTGCACCATTGACAATAATTATTCTGTAGTAAATGTTAAAGCATCAAGTATCAAAATGAAAAACCAATGTACTGAATGCTGGAATGCAATATGGCGTTGACACGTTGATGTATCGCTAACAATCTGGCATGGGTACCCTTTCTTTCTGCAACTCTGTCAGTGGAGATAGTGAAGAAAGAATATGTACTTACTTGCATGACTCGCAGTCTCAGACTGAACGTGTTTTCCCGTCCTTGGCCTTGTGTGCATAAGGTTTGCCAAAAAACGCACTGACATCGGAGCCCCTCTCCTCGTGTCGAAGTACAGGCGTCATTGATATGTCCTGTACATTGATGTCGGACAGAAATTCGTCCGTGGCTGCAGGTGTCGTGTGGCGAGTACTTGGAGTCTCTTCTGTTAGTTGGTAGGGAGGTTAAGTTATAGAACAAGTAAATAAAAATACATACCTGTGTCATCAATGAGAGAACGGGTGTCATCCATAAATGATGGATTGTGAGCCCGACAAAGGTGTTTGCCTATAGAATCATTGAGAGAGTAAGTATACAAATGCAGAGGCTGCAACATACCTTTGTGGCCTGCCGCTTTGTCTTCTTCACTCGATAACTCCGCTAATTCTTCTCTCGATGAAGGGGTCCAGTCTGCATCCGCCAAAGTGCGCTTGCCAGCATTTCTCGAGTTGGTGCTGATTTTATGGCTGCTGAGTTCTGGTGTTGCGGTGTTGTTAGAGTCGGTAAGGCAAGATGATGAAATGATAGTGCGCTTTGCTCGCATGGTGACAGTGACAGGTGTGTCATCATCAGAGATCACTGTGGGAGGCATCAGTACACTCGCATTCTGCCGGTAGATCAGTCGCACGAAGAATCACTCACCGGTGGCGCATAAACTGTAAGTCATGATGGAATATGCCGTTGATGTTTCCAAATTGGGAAGCCTGGGCCTGAGCTCCAGGCTTGGGCCTGTCCAACTTACAGGCCAGGCCCTTACCTTGGGCCTGGCTTTGGCCTGACCTACGAGGGCTCGGCCCAAAGGGCCTCAGGGCCTCAGGCCAGGCCCAACGCATCACTAATTGTGATGTGAGCCCATAACCATCGCTCTTGAGTCTCAGCTAATAGTGCATCACCTTGTCTTTGAACTGCTCACCTTATGCCAATGGTGCTGCAGCTGTGTCCTGCTCTCAGCTAGTGTGTGATCTCGTCTTTGATATGCCTTGTCCTTGCTCATTTTCACTTGTCATCCCTCATTCTTTGTCGTCCTCATGAGCCTCTACAACCGCCTTCACAAACCTCTACAACCACCCTCTTGAGCCTCTACAACCACCCTCGCAAACCTCTACAACCATCCTCCTTTAGGTCAACCACACTGATCCAAGTTGGTCCCCACTGCGTGCAAGGAATGATAGCTAGTTGAGAAGGGGTGAAGGGGAAGAAAAGGGGGAAGTGGGGTAAAACTCAAATAGACCTCTGGACGCAAGTGTATTATTCAGCCCAAGGGGATTGCTACTGAGAATGATTCCTCTATGTAAAAAGTGGAGGGAAATCACAGAAACTAATAAGGGGGGTTGAGAATGGATGGAATGTGAAGGCTAGCACAATGCGATGCAAGCATGAGTGAGCTGCCATTGATGCGGTGCGAAGTGAGGTTGAGCAGCCGAAGATACGTTAATGCGTGATAAAGCATGGTCGTGCAGAAAAGAATATGTTATGGCAAAGCGGTGGAACAATGAAGACGGTGGGTTCATAAGTAGCGCAACGGCTACTGAAGCAAAGAACCGATGGGATAACGCGGCCAGTCGATAGATATGCGCGGCGGTCAATACAAAGTTTAGATTTTAGATTCAGACGGTAATGCTTGCAAGTAGGCAATGTCATGGGTATCCAGCACCCACTGTGGGTCGTGGGTGTGGGTACCCAGGGGTATGGGTGGGGGTAGGCACTTATGATACCCACACCCCTACTCACACCCACACGGTGGGTATGTAGGCAAAAAAAATATCTTTGCACTGTGATATGTGATTCAACTTTGTCAAATATGCTAGTAGTGGTCTCAGTGAATGGTATGCCTAGGTTGAATAGCCAACAACTTCATTTTCAATAATACTATCTTTGTCATCTATGTTGATTCCATTTATCATGTTACATGTAGACTATAGAAACATAACTTTGAACTTTGGTTCAGTAGTGTTCAATCCATATGTTACTGATATGTCAACTAATTGATAAGATAAACTAGCCATAGACTCACCTTAAATAGCACTACAATTTTCATCAAGATACATAATGATAATAACAATTTATGTTTGGCTAAACTCATCAATATGTATTTTTACTTTGCTCAAATTACTACTGATTAACAAAATAAGACTCACAACAGACTTGTCTCAACTAGTATTACAAGGATAATGTCAACTTTTATTTTTGCATTTTTCAGAGACTTACTGGTGTTGGGTTTTTATTTAGCTTTATCTCTCTCAAATGACTGCTAATTAACAAGGTGAGACTAGCAATATATTTGTCTCCAGTATTACTACAACATTCATTAAGATATCTAAGTGTGTAGTACCAATCGTTCATGTCGTACCTATGGGTATACCCTCTATGGGTGTGGGTATGGGTAGCCATCCCTGGTACCCACAAATAAACCCACACCCACCAGTGTGGGTGTGGGCTTTTGGTGGGTGTGGGTGGGGGTATCACCACAGATACCCATGGGTATACTCACATCATTCCCTACATGCAAGTGGATGATAGATTCTATGTGGGAGGTAAGAAAGACACATGAAATTTGTAAGTACCAGTATATATGAGAATGCACTGAAGCACTATTTGGAGCTGAGTATGTAGTGGTTGTAGGTAATAAGGGTCTGTGATGAAAGTAATAGAGATATAAACGAAATAGCATCGGAAATATGGTCAGCCTATTCCAAAACAAGTGAAATACACACCAATAGACCAGCCGGAGGACATGGATAGAATGGGATAAGGACGTGCGATGGAGCCGAGTAAAAGCTGTTACGGCCTGATACATGTGTGCAAGCCGTGGCCATTGGCCAATAACAGAAAAGATGCGCGCCATGTTAGCGTTAGCACACGCAACACGAGGACCTGTGGGACGACACAAAAATAGCCTTTACGAGGCCACAAGGACTATAAGTCCTACACTGCTGTTCGCCATTTGTGAGTGTATTGATCCTTCTTTGAGTTCAAGCCACACTGATCGAAGTTGTTGCCCGCCATTTGCAGTTCATGAATCTGTCAATCCTCCTTCTACTCGAGCCATGCTGATTGAAGTTGTTGTCTGCCGTTTGCAGCATGTCGATCCTCCTTCGAGCTTGAGCCATGCTCCTGGTGAGTTTTTTTTAAATTGAACTCATATATACTACAGCTAATAACATCTCACGAGTCACGCCAACTTTCCTCCACTGCACCCTCTCACACCCTCTCAGACCTCTACTGCATCCTCTCGTACATCTCGCACACCCTCTCGTACATCCTGTGCACCCTCTTGCACCCTCAGACCTCCACTGCACCCTCTCATACATCCAGCATACACTCTTGCATCCTCCCTCATACCCTCTTGTATCCTCTCTTGTACCCTCTCACATCCTCCCTTCATACCCTCTCATATATCCAGTGCATCCTCTCGCATCCTCCTTCATACCCTCTCATACAGTATATCCACTGCACTCTCTCGCACCCTCTCTCGCACCTACAATGCACTGTTCAGGGATGTATTAAATGCATAGTCACGACTCACAACCCTCCTCATGCCTATCCTCATTGTCTAGTTGCTCTGTTATGACCACCTACCCTGCTTACATTGGTAGCTACTAGTGATGTGCAGGCCCGGCTCGGCCTGAAAGCCCCGGCTTGGGCCCGGCTTTTGGGGGCTTGGGCTTTGCAAAACCTCAGGCCGAGCCGTGGGCCAAAGCCAGGCCAAAGCCGCGGCTCGGCTTGGGCTCAACGACGGCTTTCAAAAACAAAATGACTCAAAATTCAATATAAGTAACAGTCGAGTCCTACAGCACTTTGTCGTCGTCCACCAAATCAACATCAGACTCTTCCTCCTCCAAAATCAATGTATCCCACCCCTCATCATCTTCATCGATTTCTTCGACACTTGCCCATTTGCTGGTGGTTTCAGGTGTGGTGGTGTCGACGTTTGGTGCAGGAGCAGGCAGGATGGGTGCTTGTGGTGGTTCAGTGGCCGGAGGATGGGTGTCATCGGTGGTGCACTTCAACACCTCTGCAGCATGAAAGGACAGGTTGAGAGGGGAGAGCTGCCTTCTCGGAGTGCTCCAGGAGTGCAGTGGTCGGTTTGACTTTGCGCACTGGATGCACTACACATTGACTTGTCGTCACTGTCTGTATGGACCGTTCCAACCATTAGAGTTTTTCAAGTTAGAGCAAGGGTAGCGACGTACCAGTACCATAGCCATGAATCCCTTTTATCCCACTACAAAGGATCAAGATCGTGATGAAAAAGTATACTTCGAACACAAAGCAACATGAGATAGAGTAACATCAATGGTGCAAAGCACAAAGATGGGCAACCCACCTTTGTTTCTGACGTATGAAGTGTTTGTTGTTGGATTTGCGCGAAGAGACTAGAGTATGAGTGGTATGAGATATACTCAAGTAGTCCTCGATGAGCGAGATATATGTCAGCCCAAGGGGATTGCTACTGAGAAGGTTCTCTAAGTGTATAAATGGAGGGAAACACTGGACTGGGTGCTTTGTCAAGCCTGGTAAGGTGCGTGACGATGAGCGAAGTGCTAGCAAGCGAAAGCAATGTGAAGCGCTGATGAGCGACGACGGCTGATGACAAGTGACAATGTGCGACTTATAATGGAAGCGCATGCTGAGCGGGAGCGGTGCACACGTGCGGGTGGTGGAGTGCAGGGACTCTTAATGAGTCAGAAAACTAATTTGGCAGAGTTTCTAGTAATGTACGGCAGTGGCGCTTGTATTGTACTTAGATACTTTAGATTTATGAGAGAGAACTTTAGACTTCGAGTCCAATGATGTGCGGGCAGAAAGATAATCATTATACAGTTTAGACACGCATATATATACTAAGTAATTCTAAGCACTGTCAAGTGCTAAAGCGAACCAAGAAGCGAAACAGATACAAGATAATATGTAATGTAAGGGTCCATGATGGAAAACATATGAAATATGGTCATAAGTGCCGGAGATATGTCAGAATAAATGAAAATGAAATCGGAATATGCACCAACAAACCAAACAGACATGGAATGGATGGACGGAGGATGGGCGATGGAACCGAGGATGCACACACAGATGCGTGACTGAAGTGCTCATGCAAGTGAGCGGCCGACGAAGTGCTTGAACACGCTAAGAGAGATATGGGTTGCGCTATATTAGGAAGTGATAGAGACATTGGGAATTTAGGTCCCTGCAAGGCCACAGAGATATTAGTCTCTACATCTCATAGCTTCTGACTGTCCCCAGTCAGCGAGTATAGGGGGAATGGACTTGGTGAATTTTCGACGAGGAAAGTCACAAGTCATGTGATTGTGGGCGGAATGCGCCAAAAGCGTATGTGGAATGGTCCACCAGAGTCTTGCGAGTCGTGGATTGTGGGCGTCATTGTGCTGACATAATGTGGTTCGTTTCGGGCATAAAAGAACTGGCCTTGTGTCACACTTCTCTTCTTCAATTCAATACTTCATTGTGTCTTTGCGATAATCTCTTCCTCCTACCACTATGTCCTCCGTTATCTTCAATCCATCTATGCTTACTGCTTCGCCTTCTCCCTCTCCTGAGCCCAAGGAGCGCCTGCAAGAAGGTGGCAACATGTCGACAAATGACGCCACTCTCGATGATCCAACCCCGAAGGAGCCGGAGGAAACTGAGGCCAATCGCATCCAGCATGCTTGGACGGTGATCCTTACAATGATGCATGCTTGTCCAAAGATGCATCCTCCTCGAGCTGAGCTCTTGGAGGAACAAGAGTCATGGCTGCGCGACTGGAATGCAGTCGTGGTGAGTTTTTCTTCTTGTCATGCAATACTTATGTTTCTGATCGGTTCTTTTCTAGGCTGATATGAACTCTGTTTTCGAGCGGGCGCGTGCTGTGACTGTGCACGTGTCACTCAGAAATGCCAATATGGCTGACCTCGATGAGGGGAAAGCCACGGCAAAAATACTGATGAAGGCCGAGGAGTTGGTATTGACCGTGCGCCAGGTGCGCATTGCCAAGGAGAAAGAGGTGGAGACTTTGCGAGCAGCGGAAAAAGGAAAGGGGAAGGTGACCGAGCTGGAGGAGGGAACTTCTCCTGAAGTTTTGGACCTGGGGTGACCAGTGAGTGCATTCTTACTTTTTCTTTCATCTTTCCTTCTTGTGCTGACTTGTTGTTCTAGCGTTTCGGCGGTTGTATCACCACCACGTTGGTGACCACCTGCCCAGAAATTCCATGTGCGCAGTGTACCTTGATCAACTTCCCATGTGTCCTCAGCGACAATAACCTGAGGTGCAACAGCTGTACGAAGGCCAAGAAGGCCTGCTCCTTCAATCTGCCCTTCCTCCTGCCTTTTCTTTTACTAACTTTTCTTTTAGTCGCCGATAAGGCTAAGGACCACACACTGGCTGCGCCAAAGGTGATGACTCCTGTTCCTGTGCCTGTGCCTGTTGTTGTGCTGGCTGCTGGTTCCACTGCCGATGCTTCGCCCAACATTGGTGAGTCAGACATCGAGATCATTGGTGAGTCTACCACTGACGAGGGTGCTGCCGGTGGTTCTCGAACCATTGTCATACAGTGTGCGAAGCGCCCTCTCGCTTCATGACCAGCGCCAGCACCTAAACGCCCTCATCTCGACATAGAGGTGCAGCTTGATCAGGTGCGCATTGACAATTCCCAGTTGCGGATTCGGAATGCCGAATTGGAGGCTGAGGTGGCCAAATGGAAGGGTGTAGTTGTCGACATGTGTCAGCACAGCCGTGTGCAAGAAGCTGAGGTGATGGCGATGAGTAATCACATTTACTGTATGGGGCGCAACTGGGGTGCCTGGGAGAAGGAGATCACAGAAATGCTGGAGAAGTAGGTGGTCTTAGTTAGAATACTCTTAGTTTAGAACTTGTTTGTAGCACCAGCATGCTTGTACTATAGAGTCTCCCAGTGGAGCGGCGCCTGGTGCACCTTATAATTTGTCCTGTCACGTCCAGTCCGATGTCCAATTCCAATTCCAATTCCATGTCCAAATCAGTTCGCTGGCCTAATTAAGTAAGAAATATGAGTAAGTGCATGAAAGTAATATAGAGTCATAAGGAAAATATGGTGGTCATGCAAGCTGCGTGCTTGTCTTGTCTTTGTCGGGCGTCCTTTCACGTCTATTCCTTCACTATTCCCTGTGCGTTGCTTGATATTAGGTGCTGTCGGTGTATGGTCTATGAGTATAAATGGGCACGGCGCAGCTGCGCGCATTCAAAATAGAAAGTCTATGGGTGGTTATGTGCGCGCTTCTATAATAACTTATCTTTTTGTAATATATACTTGGCGGTTGATTATTTGCCGATCGGCTGTATAGGATAGAGTCTGTTGGGTGTATGTTCAATGCAATGCGTGTGTTATGAGACATGATAATTGAGAAACTGAGGTTGCTGGCTGAAACCTGGGGTAAAACGGAGAGAATAGAAATCTATGATATGTTTTTGCGATTGTTTTGTTTTATATATTGTTTTTGTTGATTTGTTGAATGGAGTGATGGTGGTTATGTGCGGATATGTGCGGATATGTGCCAAAAATGGATAAGTGCTACGTGCCAGGTGCACGCTCGGGTTCGTCTTTGTCGGGTTCTTCGACATCTTAGTCAGCTAAATGATCTAGGGTCTCGTCGTCTTTACCAGTGACGCTTGTCACCATGATGCATTCATCGCTGCATGAGAAATAAGGAATGACGTGGAACACTTCATAGCACAATTTAGAGATAGCACCATCCAACTCGGCCAGCAGATATGAGCCTCCTTTTGTGTGGCGCACTATTATCATCAGTCCCAAGTATTGCGGCTTCATCTTCTTGCTCAACTCGTACTCAGCCTTTGAGTTGCGCACCAGCACTAATGTGCCAGGTGCATGGTCATAGTTGCAGATAGTCGTGCAGAAGCGCTTCTCGAAGTTGTGAACAGACACGTAGCATGCCTTCATTACCTTGTCTCTGATAGTGGTGAGATCCTCTATGCGCTTCTGTAACTGGTGTGCGCGCCATGCACTGAGTTCTGTGGTAGTAAACACTACTAAGAACATTGCTTCTGTTAGATCAAAAGGAAAGATCAGCTCTATGCTGTGCACCATACAATAGGGCAATAAACCCGTCGCTTAGTGCATGGTGATGCGCTCAGCTCAAAATACCGAGTGAACAACTTGATACCAATGAGTATCATCTCCATCACAAGTTTTGATGATGGCCTCCTGGACATCACGGTGTCAGCGCTCTACTATACCATTCACTTGTGAATTATATGGTGATATGGAGATCGGATGGATATCATACCGCTCCGCAAGCATGTTGGTGGCGAGTCTATAAGCGGGTGCATTGTCAGTAATGATTTCCGTGATAGGACCCCATTGGCATAGGAGCTCCTCATATATAAGGCCATAAGCAACTTCATATTCTCCTTGCACAGCATGTGCCATTTGGGATATGACGTGAGCGCTGTAGTAGGAGGGTTTGGCCTCAGGGGCATCAGCCAGGGGTGTCAGAGGTCTCTGTAGGTGTCATAGGTCCTCGTAGTCCTTAGATAGCCATGTTCATAGGGTTAGGTCATCATCATTCCACCACCATAGCAGTCTGCTTGGTTGGTTTGGCTGTCTCTCAGCTTGTTTGGTGTTCGAGCCATGGCCCCTCTCCAGCGTGCAGCGTGCTTGCACTAAATACTTGTATCCACCCACTTTGGGCATCTTCATGGTGTCAATATGCACCCTGCGGAACAAACCTCTGGGTGTTGGTACCATCGGCGGGACGTGGAGTTTCAGAAATTGCCTGGTCTGGCATTCATGACATGTGCATGTGTACCATTTGATATTGTCATCTATGTGTGGCCACCAAAAATGCAGTAGCAGCCGCGAGTGAATGGCATATATTCCCTTGTGACCTAGGTCGTTGTGCGCTTGCTTCAGGATCTGGTAGCGCTTGTGTGGCTTCACCACAATCTGATGCTTGCTGTTCGCTTCGCAGCGCCAAAGGTTATCTTCGAGAACGAAGAAGTGCGCCATGTGACTGACAAATGTGGTGAACACATCATCTGTAATGTCAACAGGTCTCTTGCAGTTGAGAAGGAAATGTTCTATCAATACCATGCACTTATCGAGTGCTTGCACTTTCTCAGAGCGCAGGATCTGCAGGTCATCTTGCAGCGGCTCTGTAACATCAAGAAAGGTTCATAAGACAGGTAAGTGTCTCGGCAGCTGTGTGAACGGAATCATATGCATGGTTAGATCATATTTGGCGCCGGCCGCCTCAACTTGGAGCATCCTATCATTCAGGATCGTGATGCCAAATGAGTAAGCGTGGTCTATTTAATCCTCATGATCGTCATCTTCTTCTGGATCATCATCAACACGCGGTCTCCTTGAGAGACCATCTACGCTGGCGTGCTTTGTGGCGGGTACATGAATGAGATTAAATTGAAAGAGAAGGATACCCATGTTCCATCGATTGATGGTCGCATTGGGTTGCAAATCGGGATTATTGATCATACCTTTAATATACTTCGCGTCGACTTCAACCGTTAGGTTAATGATGCCGAATATGTATACACGCATGGTGTGCAGCACACAATACAAGCCAAATCTAAAACCAAATCTTTGAGTGTTTGCATCGCTTGATGCTGCTCTTCGCCAAACTCGAATGGAACATCCTTCTTGGTCAGGTTAATCAATGGGCGCACGATGCGCGAGAAATTATGAATGAAAATATGCAAGACGCCACTTGTACCTAGTAACCCGCGCACTTGCGACTGGTTCTTCAGTTCAGGCCAATCTTGAATCTTTTGTACCTTTGATTCGTCAGGTATGCACCCTTCGAATGTGCACTTGTGACCAACGATGGTCATGGATGGTGTGGCTAGTACAAACTTGGTCACCTGGATAGCCCATTTGGGAAGCCTTATTAGGCTTAGCAATAGCATGCCTCGTCAACTATATTTAGGCTCGAAACTAGTAATATCCCAACACCAGCGTTAAATCACGCCCTAAATATTCTGATACCTTTGTACTGTAGCCTATAGCTAGGCTGGCACTTATCCCGCCTTATCCCGCCCTATGCCTGATACCGGCAGTTTCCACAAATTGCCTGTCTTGGTCCATAGCGGTTTATCTGGTGGGTTCTCACGCCTCTGTCCTCCTACCCCCTGCACTGCTGCACGCTGCACGCTACCGCCACCGTTTCTACAGCTCAGCAGCCATCACCCAGGCCACCACTACCCTCTACAACATCTGTCCCATCTTCCTCACCCAAAATCCCAGTGCCTCAGTGGTCTGTGCACCCCCAGCTTGCAGCATCCTGCAGGCTGCCTCCCACCTCATTCTACAACGCTTGTGCCCAGCACCAAGTGGTCTCTGTGTCCCCAGAATGCTGCCAGCACCAACCTGCTTCCCACCTCATTATCCTTGCCCACCACTGCCCTCTACAACACCTGCCCAAGTGGTCCATGCACCCACTATCAAACCTGGTCTCAGCTAATCGCCTACACCTACAGATTCACCACTTGTGGATCACACCATTCAGATCCACCAATGCCTGGTGTGCTCTATTTGCCTACACCTACAGAATCCTCACTTGGGGATCGCACTATTCAACCATTTGTCCACCTGGTCCGTGCACCCACTATCACCCGGTCTCAGCTAATTGCCTATGCCTACAGAATCCTCGCTTGAGGATCACACTATTCAACCATTTGTCCACCTGGTCCGTGCGCCCACTATCACCCGGTCTCAGCTAATCACCTACACCTACAGAATCGTCCCACTGGCTCCTTATGCCTCATGTAGGGGGTCATTCTAAGCTTAAGGGCCTCTCAAAGTCTATCATCTCGCACAACTTTCGAGGGCGACATCGCCAGACTCATATCCTGAAAGCTAGCCATCAGCTTCAATGCAAGGAGGCAGCAGATGCAGGCCATCAGGCTCAAGTCCAAGGTATACCTTTACATTCTTATTGTTTACATATAACTAATGCGATCTCTCATAGAGATGTCAAGCGAGGACCGCCAGTTGGTGGAGAACATGATGAGTGATTATGGAATGGATGTTGAATCAATACCATACACCGTGCCTCCAGGAGAGGAGGGGATGGAACTGAGTCATGCTGGTGGGGAGTACAAGGCATTTGAGGGACTCACTGGTCAAATAGCGGACCTTGGTGGCTAGTGTGTATTTTTTTTCTTGTCTGTCTCGATTGTTGCTTATACCATCAACCAGTTGCTATATCAATCACAGCACTGGGAGGACCGCACAGAAAGCCAAACGACTCACTGGCAACTTCAAATAGACCTGCTGGTGGACGCTTACCTGGACTATCATTTCCGTGATTCTGGAGACGGCTTACCAACCTTTGACGACATGTCTGCGGAGCCACTTCTAGACAATTCTTCTAGTGTTTCGCTAACTAACATAGAACTAATTGACCTTTTCAGTATGTTTCACAAAGTTCCAATTCTCTGTGCGCTAATTCATTTCTAGAGCGAAGCCACTCTTCACTGCGATCGCAGCCCTCCCACAGATACCCAAACGAGACCTTAATATACCATGGGTACATCGGGTGTGCACCACTTCATCCCACAGCTGCCATATCGCTGCGCACTCTTGCCGCCTACCGTCAAATCCATCGGTCATGTCCCCGATTCAGCATTCAAGCCCAAGTGAAAAGTCTTTGTTTCCTGCATGATGTACGTGTATATTACATCATTTGACTGATCTAAAAATGCCGCACAGACACCCTATCGACCGTACCTTAACGCACAATTTTCAGCCGCTTATGACATCTATTTGGAAATCCTTCACCGCGTGAAACAGCATCATTGTGCAGCACTCAATCATGACACACTGAATTGGTGCATGCTCAATTCATGCCCAGCTTGCTTCTATAAATTAGAGGATGAGCCAGTGCTTGAATTTGATTGACTGGTATCAATTGATGGCAACAATAGTTTGAAGTGCTGGAACTCTACAATTTACGGCTAAAACCCACACATTGATTCTCGCAAGGCACATTCTGATTATTGGATTGATACCTGCAATGTAGACAGGTTCAAGGATGAAGTCAAAACACGCGAGGTAAGACGAGCCTCTCTTCATGCAACAATAGTCTGACTACATGATGCAGAGGGACACAAATGACGATAACTGGGAGGACAAAATGATCGCAGCTGAAGGCACTACCCCAGCATTCAGTTGTGTCAACCGATGGCGCAATGCTGGTCCAGAGACTCGAAAAAAATGTTTTCAGTGTTTGACGAATCCGGGATATTTATTGCAGTGTGCCGTCATAGATTTGTCATTCTAGCTTGCGACATGATATGGAGCGGAGAATTGTTAAGTTCTTTCTTAGCTCATCTTGACAAGCACTGATTTACAACAGAGCAAAATACCTGCTAGCCATAATTGACAAGCTCCTCGCCATATACAGGAAAAAAGGTGGCTGTGCTTATGATATTGGATGCGCATTTTCAAAGACACTGACCAACAGTTCTTTGGGTATGCGAGCGTGCAAGTTAGACTTTCATCTCATGGTGGGCACGTTCCACGGACATGCCCATAACCATAAGTGCCAGCTAGACTGGCATCCCATGTACATCCCCGGAACCGGACACACTGAGGGTGAAGGGTGTGAGCATATCTTCTCGTCATCAAACGAGCTTCCTCGTAGTATGAGACACGCAAGTCTATTCCACCGGCGTCAGACTATCGAGGAACATTTCTCATTCTGGGACACCGACAAGTATGCAACCCTTAGTGAGTAAATATTATAAGTTTTACTACTTTATCACTGATTCTGTCAGGCAATTTCATTTGGAATCACCACTGTGAGGCGCTAAACTCTATTCAGATGCTTACTGCTGAACTAGCTGTCATCAAAGCCGAGCTGAGTCTTACTGATGACGATCTTGTTCAATTTCTCAAAGACGAGCATGATTATCTTGATGGATTGAAGCTGCCACCTGTCTGAGACCAACTCTGCATATGCTATGTTGAAGTTCTCAATGAGCTCACTCAACAACAGTAAGTAAAGTTTCCATGCCGTTATTATGGACCTGATATTTAACTAATTTAGAGCTGATTGGGACATAGCTCGGGAAGTCAGCAATACCGCCCTGACTAGCATTCCCACCGGTAGTTTACAGGAGATCAACAATGCCCTCGCCCAAGCCCAGATTCGTGTTGACTCTTCCTATGCGAAGTTACAGCATGCTGAAGGGCTTGTTGCGCATATTGAGACACAATTGGCTGTGGATCAGCAGTGGGAGATTGGTGGGCCAGAGTACTGACAATTTAAGGAGGAGGCGTCCCTGGGTAAGTACCGCACTGCTCTAGATGAGCTCAAGCGTCTCGTGGTGATGAGGTTATTTGAACTCTCCAAACTCTCACTATTGGGCACAGGTAAGTTCATTTATGCCGAAATACCAACACTAATGACTGTTTATTTCTAGGGTACAAGCTACGCCAGCAGCTAGGCAAGGCTCTACAACATTGTTCGGATGCCATCCGTAATGCTATTAATCGCTACAACACACAGGCCACAGCCCTAAATCCACCCCATTCCAAGATCTCTTGGAAGGACATCGCTGATTATGGTTTTGTAGCTGAATTCGATCTTCTGTGATATTCTCGCAATGATATTCGAAGCAGCACTTGGTCAAAGCCAGGACATTGAGAAGCAACCACTAAATTCTTCAAACTTTGTCGAGCGCGCGAAGAAATCACTAGACTCAACGTTGAAGTCCGCCACTTGTGCACCACCATTCACGATGAAGAATGTCATATGCTTACCGTCATACAGAAACTTCAGGTTTTGGATCTGCACCTAGGCTGCGAGCTGCAACGCCAACATCGTTCACGTGCAGCTATCAATGCAATGCATTGCTACCGCTTGAATCGCATCGAGAGTCTCACAGGCTTTTCTGGAGTCAGGGGTGTTGGTGTCCATGCTGACCGCGCTGCTGACCATGGTATGTTTGAATAGCAAACTCAGATGTTATGCTAATGTTTCCATAGGTCAACCGAATGATCTTGCAGATATCTCACCAACCATTGATACTGAGGATACTGACATAGAAGCCATTGATCATGAAGAAATAAACATGTTGACAGAGGACATGGCTGATTTTCTTCAGTCAATTATTGATTAACTTGGGCACCACATACATACTGCAACTTGTACCTTTAGTTTGTCGTGTCATAATGAAAAACTTTGCCACAAATGATTGCAATAGATGTGTGATACTGAATATGTATAGTAGTGTACACCTTAATGTAGCATACAGTTGTAGATTATCGCTTCGTAATTCAAATTCTATATAGGAGTGAGATGTAGACTACGGCACCATAATGTAGCATGATTTAAGCACGGGTTTCAGTCTGACCAAAAGTGTTAATTGATCCATTAATGAGGGTCTTATTATTTCTCTACAAACATTAAGAGTATACACATTTGTAGAGAAATAAGACCCTCATTAATGGATCAATTAACACTTTTGGTCAGACTGTAACCCGTGCTTAAATCATGCTACATTATGGTGCCGTAGTCTACATCTCACTCCTATATAGAATTTGAATTACGAAGCGATAATCTACAACTGTATGCTACATTATTAATACAGGCAGTGTAGATTATCTATAGAGTGCTGGGCATGATTGTATTCAAGAATCTGAGTACAGATCTATGTGTACATAATAGTGTGCCCGTCAAAATTACTACTTACCATGCACTTGTTAAGCTCGCAAACACGACTCCACTGCACCTAGTGTGCATCCACCATCTCCACCACCCTTGAAGCCATTGCAATCTTCGCCATTGCACTCCATGGCATCTTTACCATCTCCGGATAGCAAATGGTTCGACCAATTCAACATGACAGGTCTTGCTGTGCTGTATCATAATTCTACGTTTGCCTCGGGTTTCAGCAACAACGAGCGTCAAGCAGCCGCACAGGCTTTACTCAGGCATGATGCTCATATTGACGGCTCCCATTATCAGACTAGGACAGTGGGGGCCTTCACCCATCATACATCAGCTTCAATTGGTCAAGCAATTCGAACGAGGCAAAAGAGTGGTCCCTTACACCTAACGAGCTACTTGATGCAGCCACCCAGGATGTATTTGATGCAGTCAGTCATTTCCTTGATTTTTTTTCTTAAAGCTCACAACATTTTTCAGCTCACCACGCAAGACTGTCTTGATGGTGGGATATCCCTTCTCATTTGATGCGCTGGCAGTGAACCTCCGCCGAATCTCTCCCCCAGACAAATTCCTATTGATGTCTATATGATGCCGCATGAGTTGCAGGAAACACAGCAGCGAATTGGTGGAGATCTTGCTGTCTTAGTACAGGCATTCGCACAAGAGTTCGCAGTACCTCATTTGCAGCGTTTTGCTACCCGCTGTGCCATTGAAAAGGTGAAACACAGCAGGTGCTGTAAGTAAATTAATTTTTATTGTATTCTTCGCATTGCTAACACAAGGTGAAGTCCCTGCAACTCATATCAGCACTACCGGACCATGCTACATCCCTCCACCTATGGTTGCTACAGGAGCTCGAATCCAATGCTCTGCACAAGCCCCAGACACCTTTTCCACCAATCTACAGTCCCCTCTCCTTCATTCAGACTCTGCCACTATTCATTGTGGTGTGGAATTGGCTGCCGAATCTGCGAACCGAACTGCACCATCGACACCACACTCGGAGATGCGTCAATGTTGACTGGCTGATGTATTCACCAAGGCTGTCCCACTTGTTGTGGCGCCATCTCAGGGACAATTCGCTTGCAATCTGCCAATGGTTGGGTCGCCCCTTATTAGTATTGGGCCATATGCAGATGCTGCACTTGATCAGTTGAAGCTGGGTGACGAGAATTTGCCGAAGCTCCGAACATTAGTAGCAGCAGTTCGCAGCAGCCGGTGGGAGGCAGTGTTTAGGTCCCCATCATGGGACTTGACTTACGAACAAGCTTCCATCTTGTCTAATGCCCTCCCCATGGACCTACAGGTAGGTATAAGGGACGTCAACCCTGAGGCCGCCAAATTGAAGGTTAGTCATTCTCCATTCTTTGCATTTTAATTTTAATTTCAATCTGTATAATCAGTCATCAGTGCTTACCACCATCCTCAAGATCCTCGGCATCTTAGTTTTCATATGTGCGCTTTACCTTTTCAGTTTATTATTACTGTAGATCTCAGATGTTCCTGCCTTGTTTAGTACGGAATGATGTGATACCTGAGCCTAACCACAATGTTGACGGAGTGAAAATTTTCTTTTCAGCGTGTTAAATAGCTGGACAAATGATTGCAGGTTGTTGACTAGTCTCCGCTGCTTCCTTGTAGCTAATGGTTGCCCAGTCGTTCTTTGCCAACAAGCGCAGTTAAAATGCCAGACTCATCCAGCCACCTGCCCGTCGACGTTCGAACGTTGTGCTCAGTAAAGAAGCCCGTGCTGCTCTCAGGCTCAAGTGACGCACCAAATCTCTTCGGTTCAAGGACACTTTAGATGACACATGGAAGCAGCTCGACGATGCTACCAAATTGATTGCGTCTTCACACCATAAAAGTATCCGCCAAGTTCAAAATGATTTATACATAGGTTGTGGCCTTCTCCGTTCAAAGCACTCTAAGGCTAATTTATGGAATGTGTTCTGCTGGAAGAAAAACCAAGATAAAGAGAATGGTAAGTTTCTATTATAATTGTGTTGTCGTGTTCTGTCATGCTCAAGCGTTGTTTTTTTTAGATAGCCACAGTAAAGCGGTGCTCCAAACACTTGTCTGAGAACACAAGTCCGAATACCTTGCACTCTCAAATGAAGAACAAGTTGAACTTCTCACCGAGTTCACTGAATGGAAAGAGACAAAGAAGACTGGTGTTTGTGTTACGGCCAAGTCAAAAATCAACGATATCACACAAACCTTGAAGGCAGTGGAAAACGAGGTATGTTCTTTGTTGAATTTGTCTCTGACATTTCCTCACATCTTCTAGCTCAAGAGCCTCCATTGTTGTACAGGTGCAGAATCTATTCTATACAGTACACGTGGTTCTACGGATGTTCCCCTCCGAGGTGTCGTGTTTGCCACTCAAGGTGTTGACAACTTCATGGACACCGTAATGGGTATCGATAATCAAGATTTAGTCAGCAAAATGGAAGGCTTTGCTGTCCAGGGGATGAAAGGTTAGTGTCTTTGTTCTTATTGCTACATCATTCTAATTATATTCAGGATCTGCGAAAAACCACCAGAAGCGTGTCTCCAATAAACGCACAGAAATGCGTGACATCATCAACCGAAAGCTTCGTAAGTTTTTTTTTTGCATTTACAACATTCAATTTACTTATTTCATTGATAGAGGAGTGTACCGGTGACACTGGCGCAAAAATGCAATGGGCGCATTACTTCCGCAACATTGTTCAGTGGTACCAGGTTGTTGTGGAAGGATGGCCGGATCAAATTCTGTTTACAAATCTTAGTCAAGTATCGAGTGCACTTCTGGACCTCCAGATGCTTTGCAATAGGTGGGATGATGGTGTGACTTACTGGAAGTCCTTGAGCGACGAAGAATTTGAGAAACTCCGTCTGGAGCATGAAGAGAAGCTCAAGAGTGGCGCGATAATTGATCGCTGCCACTGCACTCAATCTGACAAAGGGATGAAGTGCCGCAGTGCAGCAATACCTGCAAAAACTCATCACAAACATTACAAGAGTGCCGAGACTATTGAGGACAGCAAGGCCAGTGATGAAGAGTTACCTGATCCAGCTGCTCGTGATACAGAGCCACCTGTTCCTGGTGATGACTTCATTCCCTTTGACTGTGATAAAGCGTTGGCTGACTTAGATCGAATATTTGGCCCTGCGCCAATGTTGGAGTGAGGGAGGTTCACTTATACTTACCTAGTGTCAAGTCATAGCTTTCGTGTATGGCATCACTCATTACTATCAGAATGGAGGTTGTGTGTCATGAAAAAATATATATTGTTGTGTACACAGTTGTCAAGTACTACCAATAATGTGATTGTGCAGCCCTCTAGCTCAAAGTCTCGGTCCCTCTAAGCATTGTTGATAGTCTGCACGCTTGAGAAAGTGCTGGACTGACAGGATGGCAAGGGCAGTGGCAGTGGTGTCTTTGAACTGATGGGATGGCAATGGCGGCAGCAGTGGTGTCTTAAAAATTTATAGATAAAATGAGGTGTCAGTGGGAACTGCAAGGCTGATGAAGTGAGAGGCAAGGGGGACACACGGACCAGGTGGACAAATGGTTGAATAGTGTGATCCTCAAGCGAGGATTCTGTAGGCATAGGCAATTAGCTGAGACCGGGTGATAGTGGGTGCACGGACCAGGTGGACAAATGGTTGAATAGTGCGATCCCCAAGTGAGGATTCTGTAGGTGTAGGCAAATAGAGCACACCAGGCATTGGTGGATCTGAATGGTGTGATCCACAAGTGGTGAATCTGTAGGTGTAGGCGATTAGCTGAGACCAGGTTTGATAGTGGGTGCATGGACCACTTGGGCAGGTGTTGTAGAGGGCAGTGGTGGGCAAGGATAATGAGGTGGGAAGCAGGTTGGTGCTGGCAGCATTCTGGGGACACAGAGACCACTTGGTGCTGGGCACAAGCGTTGTAGAATGAGGTGGGAGGCAGCCTGCAGGATGCTGCAAGCTGGGGGTGCACAGACCACTGAGGCACTGGGATTTTGGGTGAGGAAGATGGGACAGATGTTGTAGAGGGTAGTGGTGGCCTGGGTGATGGCTGCTGAGCTGTAGAAACGGTGGCGGTAGCGTGCAGCGTGCAGCAGTGCAGGGGGTAGGAGGACAGAGGCGTGAGAACCCACCAGATAAACCGCTATGGACCAAGACAGGCAATTTGTGGAAACTGCCGGTATCAGGCATAGGGCGGGATAAGGCGGGATAAGTGCCAGCCTAGCTATAGGCTACAGTACAAAGGTATCAGAATATTTAGGGCGTGATTTAACGCTGGTGTTGGGATATTACTAGTTTCGAGCCTAAATATAGTTGACGAGGCATGCTATTGCTAAGCCTAATAAGGCTTCCCAAACAGGCTATCCAGGTGAACTTGGTTGCAGATACCGTCATGCTGACATTCTCTAGGTGCTGCAAGATATGGTTAACAACTATGCAGTGTTCCCAGATGAAGCATTGGATGCCCGGATTTTTGGGTATGGTCTCATATGAGCCATCCTTGCGCTGAGATCAGGTATTGACCGACTTGATCGGTACATCGTCAATGAAAGGTGACGTGTACTTGGGGATTTCATCCTGTAAAATAAAGGCTGAACAGCAATAGCATGTCCTTGCAGAAGTGTTGTTAAGCAATGTGGCCCTAGGGGCGTGCCGAAGGTCATCATGTCATGCAAGTCTATGTGCAGCGCGCTGTAGAAACTACAATACAGCGAGGCGCAAACAAGGCTCCAGACTGTATCTATAAATGTTGTAAGGTTGCGTGTTGCCTAGTCTGCTATACTTGAGATGACAAGTGCGTTCAACCCTAAAGGGGAAGCGAGTGCAGCAAGGATCTAGAAGTATGCGCTGAAAGCGCTACTGGTTGGCCAATGTGAGGCACGAGAAAGTGCAGGTGCTCGCAAGGCACGAAGGCATGGGAACGCGTGGGAAAGTGCACATGTGTATGCGGAAATGAGAGAGTATAAGAGTGAGTTTGCTTAAGTGATGATTAGATGCAAGATAAGAGATGAGAGATGTGAGATGTAAACAAATAGATTTCTACTATGTTCTGCTAGGTAGATGGTGGGTAGTTCCCAAGTCCAAAAGTAAGTAAGTAATAGTATGTACTGCTGGCGCTTATATATGGCACCTAAGCACTGTCATGCGGAGCCGAAGCACTGCCGAGTAAGGTATGTAAAGATATATGTAAGTAAGGGTCCATGAGCAAAATAAAGATGGAACAATATGCAAATGAGAGAAATGGAAATATACACACTAGAGAAGTGGATGGATGCTTCTGGATGGCTGGTGCTATAAGGTGTTCAAGCGTGGGAAAGCGTGCGCGCATGGCGTGCATTGCACAGGAAAGCTGCGCCTTATATAGAGATAGCTGCAGGTAGCACACAGAGTGATGCTACAAGTTCGTGCTGTATACTCCTTGGTGAAAACTACCATATCACACCATGAGAGGCATGATTCTCTACATCTCCCAGGGACTTAAATTCTGAGTGTCCCCACTCAGTGCATGTGTGGTGAGGATTTTGCGTGATAGTATGCAAGCGCGATGCATGTATGATGCTTGGGTTGTTGGGCGATGAATGTGCGAGCATAGGAATGCATCACATGGATGTGCGAAGTGTGGGAAAGCGCAGGCGCATTGTGCAATGCACAGGAATGTGCGCGCACTAGGCATGAAGGCGCAGGAATGAAGTGTAGCATGGCAAATTGCAAGGGTGACTCTGGTGTGAATAGTGTTCCATGGGTGTGAGGCGATGATGCGAGAGTGATATGGACGTGGTGTGCGAAGCGTGAGCGGGATGCGTGCATATGGTGTGAAGCGCGGGAAAGTGCGCATGCACAAGGTGCGAGGAAGCAAGTGAGTGTCACATGTGTTATATTCTGTGGGGACACCATGAGCTGTTGCACACTGCTCTTGGAGTCCAGTATGTGTGCGTGCGTGTGATGCAAAGTGGCATGGTCCAAGAGCGATCCAATCCATGTCCAAACCAAGTCCTACCAGGCATGCTAGATATTAGGTGCTAAGGGCTTGAACAGTGCAAGTAAAACTATACGTGAAGATGCAAAAGGAAAATGGTAAACTTTGCAGATGTCCTATCCGACTTGTCTTCTTCATGCAGCTGTCGACATCTACACCTTCCTGTGAGCAAGGCGCAGGAAGCGCGTGTGTGAGGCACATGGGTGCAGGACGATTGCATGCATATGTGCGCATTCTAAGGTAAAAAGTGCATGGTGCCGTGTCATGTGTGCAAAAAGAAAATAATAACCTATTGAGCTAGGCGGGCACAATCTAAGGTTGTTGTATTGTTTTTCTTCTATGTTTTTCTAGGTGATTCCTATATGCATATATATCAGTGTGTTATTAGTCCTTTGGATGGCATTATAATGCAAGAAACTAAAATTGGAAGAGCTGTAGAGACTCATGCCTCTCATGGCATGATATGGCAGTTTCCACCAAGGAGTATACAGCATGAACTTGCAGCATCACTCTGTGTGCTATCCACAGCTATTCCTATATGAGGTGCAGCCTTCCTGCGCAATGTGCGCACCATTCCCGTGCTTCGCGATGTATATGCGCGCGCACTTTCCTGCGCTTGAGCGCCCCATAGTGCCAGGCATCCAGATGCATCCATCCACTGTCCACCAAGTTCTCTAGTGCATATATTTCCATTTCTCTTATTAGCATATTGTTCCACCTTTATTTTTATCATGGACTCTCACTCATATATATCTTTACATACCTTACTCAGTAGTGCTTTGGCTCCGCATGACAGCGCTTAGGCGCGCTATATAAGCGCCAGCAGTACGTACTACTTTTTACTTTTACTGAACTTCACCTTTGCACTCACTTACTAGTTACTACCCACTTACTACTTAGTAGAACATAGTAGAAATCTATTTGTCTACACTTCACATCTCTCTTCTCTTGTCTTACATCATATCATCACTTAAGCAAGCTTATTCTTACTCTTTCTCAATTCCGCATACATGCGCACACTTTCCTGCACAGCATGCGCGCGCATTCCCACGCCTTTGTGCCTTGCGTGCACCTGTGCTTTCTCGCGCTTCGCTTCAGCGCCTACTTCTATATCTTCGCTGCACTTGCTTCCCCTTTAGGGTCGAACACACTTGTCATCTCAAGAATAGAAGACTAGGCAACGCGCGACCTACAACATTTACAGATACAGTCAGGAGCCTTGTTCGCGCCTTGCAGTATTGTTGTTTCTACAGAGCACTGGATGAAATCCAGGGTAAAACAAATGGCATCCTATGAAACAGCGATGATATATGTTTCTCTTTTGATGCACAGCTGAAGCGCTCAAAGTGCATGGTATACATGGTGTAGGCAAGGATTAAAGGGTGCAAGACTAGCGTGCTTTGGGTGCTTGGTTCCTTCTCCTTGAGCGCATGACTAGCGCACTTTGTGTCTCTTGTGAGCTGACACTTTACCCAAGGTAGGGTTGGAATGTGCAAGGCTGGCACGCTTGGGGTGCTTGGCTCTTCTTCATCAAGCCTCTTTGATTGCAACTCCGAGGGGGGCTAGTAACCGGCAGAATGAATTCTTGCACAATGTGCTGCAGGTTAAAGGTGCGCCAATGGGAGGTGCTGCAAGGGGCGTAGAGGCGCTCTACAAGCTGATAGGATGCACGCAATGTGCGCACCTTGGGGCGATTTTGCATGAATTTGATTAAATTGGCCGTACACGCGAGGAATGGCCATTTCTCTGCAAATGTGTTAGTGAGAGATGTATATAGTGTGGAATTAGGCGCAAATGTTGCGCAAATGGGTTGTAAGGGTGGTTTATCAAGGCACAATAGGCGCATAGGCAAAAGAGAATAGTGCACATCAGGGCATGCAGGAACGAAATTGACATGGTAAGCAAAAGCACGAAGAATGCGAATCAATGTGGGAAGTGTGAAATTAAAGATGATGATAGAGGAGTTAGGCGCATATGTATGTGTCAGGCGCGCCTGGATGACTGATTGGAATATGTTTTGTGTTGAATGACAGAAATGAGATTTAACAGGGGAGAAGCGATAGAAATGCGATAGTGCGAAAACTCTGCTAAAATGATGAATGCACGAGACACGGGAATTATCGCACGATGCGCACAATCATGGCGCATAAACAAGGGGCAGTGTGAAGATGAAATAAAAGTGTTTGGAAGCATCATATGGCTCCTTAAGAGCTTTAAACATGAAAGAGACAAAAAACGTGAGATGAGACAAGGGTAGATATATACTGCCTCTAGGTGCGCACATTGTGCGTTCTCAGGTGCAATATGGTGCACCTGAGTCGCCCCAGGGTCGCCTGAGACATGCTCTGCTTGGTGGTTAGGCAGCGTGATGCACAGATGCTTTACTGGCAAACAATAGTCACTAGAAGCAAAAAGTGTGATGTGTGCATGATCATTAGTGACATGTGGAATTACCGGAGGAAAACTCTGGTTGATGCAAGGTGCGACTTGAGCCTCTGATGTGGTAGGAGGCTCCTCTATAGGCGCGCTAAGGTGCAACAGATGTTTAGGGTCATCCCTGACCTCGGATGATGCGAGCAGTGATAGCTGTGATGGCGATGGTATGATTGGCGAGATTTCTTCCTTCAGCAATGCGATAGGTGAGCGTGTTTCAAGCAATGGCGTAATAATGTCCATAATGGGTGCATTACTGTGCAATAGATGTTTAGAGTCATCCCTGACTGCTGATGATGTGATCGCGATGGGTGAGCATGTTTCGAGCGGCGAGTTAGTGTGCAATAGATGTTTAGAGTCATCCCTGACTTGCAATGTGATTGATGCTGATGCTGATGATGATGCGGATTGTGAAGAAGATGGTGCTGATGATGAAAAAGGTGAAGAGGTGCCTGTGGTGCGCTTCTGGTTGCGCTTCATGGGCGCATGCTTGAGTTCGTGATCTAAAGTGACGCAGTCTGGTATAGCTTTGCATGCTGGCACAGTTGATGGTTGAGGTGCACATGTATCACACGAAGGCATGGGAAAGGAGTGTGCACGAGGCACGAGAATAGGAACTGGTGGCCTTTTGTCAAGTACAACTTCTGAGGATGCGTGATAGAAGAGTCCAGCTGTTGCACTAGCACTAATGGTCATATCCTGGGTTGCATGGCTCGCGTGATAGCGATCTTTGCACTTAGCCACTTTAGCTTGCACCAGTGCTTGCGCTGGCACGGTCTCT